AAGTATAGAAAATATAAACAAAAGAAACACAACAATACCACTATTGATATGCACAATGGCATGTATATTTGCAAACAGGCACATAAAACACGATTAAAACACATATCGCACTCAGTCTGCTTACATGCTGTTTAAAAAAAAAAAGATTTATTGCGTAAATCTGACTGAAAATTGACTTTTACAATTCACGTTAACACATTTGCTAACACTCATTTGTTAAGACACGTTAACAGAATCTAGACATGTGAATGAATGGTGTTTTCTTGCTTCATTTGCGCGCACCAACGGTTATTCCAACAATAATTCTTGTAAATTCAACCGGCAGAATCAAGTGATATACAAAGGTTTCTAACAATTTAGCAGGTAATCTGACCTCCTCACTCATTTGCCCCAAGGCTCCTTTTTATTCTGGTTTCGGTTATTGAAAGAAAAGGTATCATATAATTCAGGGCACCCACACTGACATGATCAGTTTGCCCTCTATTTTAGATACCAGTGAACAACCCTCCGTTTACATACATCACCAGGCAACCTTCGTGCTGAGTAGTTATCTTAATGCAAATATCAGCTCAAGTTGAGATTCTCCCAATTCGTGTCATTCGTGCTGCAAGAGTCGTAGGAGCGTCTAATCACGTCTTTGCGTTGACTTAACATGTAATTCATTTGCGTGAATGATTTTATACTCGTGTTTGGTGTGTGGAGACAGTCAGCCAGACAGTAACAAGCAGACAGGCCGCATGTTTCCATCGTAAAATCGCCCAATGGAGGTATGACTGAGGCTCGACTAAACTGTATATATTGTTATGTAAACTTACTAACTGAATAGTCCCTCAGATGAACCAACTGGATCTTTTCAGGCCTGTATACTTCACATAAATGGTTGAATTATTACATTATTTAATGTTTAAAAAGTTCCCTCCAACAGAACAACAATTTTAGCAACAATACTTGGACAAACTCATCCAGTAGAGGACACTGTATTTGCACTGGTAGCTTTAATCTTTTAGCCAAAGTAACTAAACTAAACACATTAAAAGGACCGTGTTAAAGATAGACAGAAGTAGAAAATGTGTCAGAAATGGAGGACAAGGACTCTGGCACAACTTCACCTACTTCCAAGGTGCTTGGAGAGAAAAAGGGTCTTAAAGAAGTCTAAGAGCTTCAGCAACACTTGCAGTTAAAAAAAACAGCTTTATTCATCCGTCGTCAGAAAATAGAAAACTAGCAGTAACTGTATATTTTTATTGAATGTAGCACAACTACAGTAACTAACTGTAAAAGTAGACGTCCACCATGTTTGATGTTTTAAGGTGAATGCATTTTACAGTAAAAGGCTGGTACATGTATTCATGTATTCAGAGACGTCACATCTCATCAGCGTCCTCTTTTCCTCTTTTTGTCCTTGTCACATCCACACTGTAGTCCAGATTTTTGACTGCTGCTCTTTTTTGATTTATAAAAGCTCAGTTTACAGTGAGTCAGGGAGAAAATGATCAACTGTCATCACCTTTGCTTGTTTGAACCAGAATTTGAAGGAACAGATCATGAATATTTTTATCACTGAATACCTGAAATAACAGTCATGTGTTGGGTCAAGTCCTCCTCCCACCAGCTGGATCTTTGGCTCTGATTAATGGCTGCTGCTGTAATCCTAAAATGCTAAAAAATCTACCTGGATACAATGAAATCCAGACAACTTGTCAAGAACATCAATAATGTTTGACCCCAGGTCGCCAAGTCACTAAAATACACGGTAGCTACAAAACATCCGAGTCAGATTCACTTCAGACATACAGCACATCAGTGGTAAACTCCACAGAAACCACCAGGATGGATTTAGTTTGGTCTGTGTAAACAGTAACAGAGAACAGTCTGGACCTGCCAAATATGCTGAATGTCATTTGAACCCAAACCCAAATATTTACCTCATGTATTTTCTTTTTTAATAAATACAGACGACTGGACAGAAATCCTAAATTCCACTGCGGCCACTTCTTACCGAGCCAAATATTCTTCTGTCTGTGTTTATCTAAGAAAATGATCGTTGGAGCTCAGCTGTCTAGTTTCTCGTTTGTTTGTGTGGTCAAACTCTATTTGATCAAATGCTAAAAACACAACAAGAAGAGGATACTGACAGTTTACATCAGCGATCAGTGTATCAGCTTTCTTGTATTCAGCAGTGACATCTGTGGTTCAGGGGGTTTGTTCATAAATCTGGGCCCTACCACCACAGCCCAGACCTACACTTATTATAACCGCTCTCTATTACGTTATCGACCCATAAAAAGAGTTGAATAGTTTGAAACATGACAAATAACCTAATTTTTGATATCATAGAAACAGACAGATTTCTCTGATTCTGATTGATTTCTCTCTTTCTCTTTTATTTACTTTCATATCTTGGTTTTGTTTTCTTTTGGAGACATGTTGCTTCAGTATCACTTACTTGGCTTAAATAGCAGCAGTCATATCAATCCTGTCAGCTTGGACTAAACCATTTTGGGGGTTTTAAAGGAGTGAGAAGGCCGATTAAAAGAGGGACTCTGTGTTTTTTTCCAGCCCAAGTGTCGAGGACTGTGTCCATTTATTTTTGCCTGGACTCGACTTTCTCTTATCTGTTTCTGACTTTATCTTCTATCTCAAAGAAAGGCATGAAAAAATCCCAAAAAACTTATTTTTAGTATAAATGAAAAAGTGGTACATTTATTGATTTCTCATTATTAGTTTCTCATGTTAATACGCTGGACATCCCCCCCAGTCTGATGTCTTTGGACACATTTGATTCACAAAATTTACAACATGATTAGTTGGGGAAAATCAGACTTAAAGCTGCAGTAAGGAACTTTTAAAGCTTGTGATGCTGATGCCCCCTTATGGACAGAAGGATATCTCTTATCACTTGTTCTGCAAATGAGAAAATAGTGTATTTAGAAAAAAAAACTCACCCTGGTGTCTTTAAAGAGTGAATTTTTATCAACTACAGTGAGTCTTTGCAGCAGAAAAATCCAGACTAGGTGAATTTTCGCTGTTCCCTCCCTTTTACAAAAGTTTTAAAGCATTGAAAATCACTGGAGTGTAATTGTCAGTCCTCTTTGTGATGGTCTGTTGACCTTTTAAAGGCATCAGTATCTGTTTCCATCTGTTTCTCAACCAGGTAAAAACTCCCTACAGTGCCTTTAAGTTGGCTCACATCCACAGTGTAAATACAAACACATTGAAGTACTGCTCATGTCTACGAATTCTGCACAGTAACACCAAACTTGCTTATGTAAATGACATTTTCTTGAACAATGATGCATACATTCACCTTTTTCTAAAACTCAGAATAGTCCGTTTGATTCCAGCTCAGCTCTGTTTCAGCTGTTTTTCTGTCTCTCTTCATTCAAATGTTTGAAATTTGACTCTGAGCTTTTTCTTGCATATGCTCATACTTGGCCGAGTCATTGATTGATGAAAACTATTGTCCATTTATATTCGACATCATCTGGAAACTGGAAAACTCATGTTCCTCATAATAAAATTTTATCCTGAGGAAGAAAAGTTTGACTTCCAAGATTATCATTCAGTCAAATTCCTGAACTAAATTGATCGCTCCAATTGAATTACTTTAATTTTGCAATAACTCAATTATATAAATGTAGTGATAATCATGTGAAATTAGTTAATCTTGTTGCATAAAGTGGAAAATCTGCATTCCACCTCTTAAAACGCTGTGTGACTGCAGAGAAAGAGCCGTTTTCAGACGGAGAAGGCCAGCTGATGTGGAAAGCTGCAATCACTGCTAATGGAGCATGAGTCTGCTGCCTGTGTGTGTGTGTGTGTGTGTGTGTGTGTGTGTGTGTGTGTGTGTGTGTGTGTGTGTGTGTGTGTGTGTGTATGGAGCTTTACTCACCCTCTGTAACTACCTCTGTGGTTGTTGCACCATCGCCTGAAAACACTTTCACTGTCACTCATCCGCATCTTTGACTGCGGCTGTGCAGTCACCCAAAATCTCTGCTCGCTGCTTTCTCACCGGGAACACATTTTCTTCTCTTTGTCCTCAACAGGTTGGCCAAGCGGAGACATCTCCAGAGAGCCGCGGAGCCAAAGGTGAGTGTTTGTTCTCCGCTTTTCCATTTCTGTTATTTTTAGTCGTATTTTTATTGTTTCTCTATGTGTCTTTGTTGCCAAACTTTGACTATTATTGCAAACCAAAAATAACAAAGCTTGAGAAAACAACCATTAATCAGGCTGAGTGAGCCCTGTGTGGCGATTGTAGATGTAATGACACAAAATGAGCACTAGAGGGAGGCAGAGTGTTTCTCTGGAAAGTGATGCTGATGCTGGAGCTCTGGATGAGTTCAGGGGAAACATAAGCAGTGCAGATGTTAATCTTAAAGTTAGAGAAATGGAGCGAAATGAAATCTGATTCAAACATTATAAGAGTGAGTTTGTTTTCCATTTGCAGCAGGTTTTATATGTGGGTGTATCTAAGCATGTTGGTTTTTTTTACGTTCATGTTTTCCTCATGGTCAGGATGGTGAGAGGTCATCAAGAGACATTTTAAATTCAAGTGAAATTTCCTAATTCTGCATTTATTCACAAATGAAAACACAAGTCTCCCTCCTCTTCGAGTCCCCTCCTCCTTTTTCACACTCTACTCCATCGCCTCCTCTCCCTGACTACTGATAGGGCAGAGATGGAGTCAACAGAGGAGAGAAACAGCGAGAGGAGGAGGAGGAGGAGAAGGAGAGGGAGGGAAGGGAGGGAGAGAGTTCGGATGTAAGGGAAGGACCAAAGTAGAAACAAGGAAACGCTGCAGGTGTTTGGAGTGGGGCATTCTGAATATCATTAGCTTCTCAGCAGGTGTGAGAGCGCTGGATGTGAGGGGTGAAGGGCAGGTAGACCACGTGCGTGTGGTCTCACAGTCAGATCCCAGCAGCAGAAGTTGAATTTTCTGCTGATTGAGAGCTTTGTAGGTGATTTTTTTTTTTTAAAGCGGTGTAAGTGCTGACCAAGCCATGGCCCTGCTTACCAACGGCGCGCAGAATCTGGGCTCCTACTTCTGCCTGATCCGACGCAGGTTCAAGAGGAGGCGCAAGAAACGCTCGGAGCGCAAAGGTAACGCTGACGGCAGCAGCTCAGACGCAGAGTGGTGCTGAGCCGGCTTCTTGTGGACTTTGTTATGTTTGTACTCTAGTAGGAGAGCGGAGCTGTGCACTTGTTGTTATGTGTGTCAAGTTTAAAGTTGTAAAACTGCGCCTACAGGCTTCTGCGGGATGTGTTTCTACAGTATGTGCAAACACAGAAGCTGCTTTATGGTTCAAACTCTTCAGACTCAGCAGTTTGTGATAAATGATCGCCATGAGACTTGGATGCTTAAGATGAGATTATCTGTAGTCTACATGATAACTACTTAAAAAGTTCATGATTTTAAACGTGTATTTTAACTTTTATCATTCTTGTAGACGTGCACGGCTTCCTCATGCACCTCCATTCAAATACATGAAGTTACAGACGCCTTACAATCTCTTAATGTAAAGCAAGTTTGGTTTATGGATATAAAGTGACAGCTTTAATAAGAAATTTGTGATTTTTTTAAGTGAATTTCATCTATTTTAGTACTTTTTAAAACATATTTAAGTGAGGACAAATACTTGATTTACAATTACCTAATGAAACTAATATTATCATGTCTAATCAAATTGATTTATCCACATCAATACTTATTTTACTTGTAAGAACATTTCCTTATGATTCTGAAAATTCACCCCCAAAGAGTTTATATAAAATAAAATTATAAAAACATATATTTGGTCATTTGATAAAGATAAAGACAGAGGAAGAAGTCTAGATCTTAAAGTCCCGGAGCAGAATTTGTACGTTACGATCACTCTAGATTCGTGTCTTTGTAATTCACTCATAACGTTATTGTCATAATATCAGTCTCTGCAGATAAAGCTTTAAAAGCAGTTACTTAAACCAGCAGGTGTAAAATTTTTCCACCTATATGTTTGGTCGACAACGTGACGCATTAACTCGCACACCCACGGTGACGGCTCACATGTGCCAACAATGAGCTGCGACACGTCGACTGTGTTGAAGTGTCACAGGTGCCAAACAACTTCCTTTAACAGCGCCGATTTGATTGAGCATTTAAAGTACAGAGTTCCTGAATAAAGAGCTTTAAACTCAGGCGTTCGACAAAGCGAAGAAATATAACAGCAGCCACCCACAGGTCAGGAATCTAAAGAAAATCACTGAATTCAGTATACGCCTGATAACCAGCTGTGATAGACGGCGTCGGCTGCTGCAGGTTAATAATGTACTTGGATCAGCTTCTCTAAAAGGAATTTGAAAAATCGGCAAAATTCACCCAGAATTTCAATGATGAGATAATAGACGTAGATTCTTTATGGTCTGGACCTGCTCTTTTTTTTTGTGAATTATCACCGTATAAACAAAGATTGATGAGTTGATATTTTGATTATGGTTCAGTTGCATTCCTACATTCAGGGGCTGAAAAAAATGAAGGTTTAAAAGTCTCTGATCAGAAAGAAAGTGTGCAAAAAACTCTTATACATCAAGTCTAATTTAACTCAAAAATTCATCTTTATGTGTTCGCTCACTGTCTGTTAACCTCGTCTCAGATTTTGTTTGTGTGTTTCCAGAGTCAGAATGATTGATCTGTTTAGCATAGACACGCTCTTCTTCTTCTTCTTCTCTTCCTCTCTCTCTCTCTCTCTCTCTCTCTGAGCAGAACAGGTCCATGTCTCGGTATAATTGAAGTCGGGTGACGGGAGCCCCGCAGAGGCTCTAAGCTTTTCTCTCCTGACTTTGCTGCTCTGCTCCGGGGATTAGCCTAACAGCAGAGGTAGTAATTACTTAGGTGGCCTCAGCTCACTGGCAGTATTAGCCATGTCTCAGCCACTTGCTTTGACACCCACCACCCACTGCCCTCCACACTCGCTTTCCCACCCACCTCGGCAGAGGCGAGTCCATTCATCCAAGTAAATCCAGCAGTGCTGATGCTGCATTCTGAGCCGGGCTCACTCATAGACTGACTACGTCCATCAGCATTACACAGGTCTGTTTCCGGCCTTTTCACTCTCCCTTATCACCGCCGGAATGAAAGTGGCACTTTTTTAACCATACTGAGAGAAGCGATGACTAAGCGGGACTTTGGGTCCGTGTTGCTCCGCTTGCCTCTGCAGTCGGCTTTAAAGCCATGCGCTGAGAGCCCCCTGATAAGTTGCTTAGTACTTTAGCTTTAGCGCCCAGTGGGTTAGCGGCGAAGGCTCGATGTGAGGATGAGGTCGCATACTTAAGACAATCATCAGTGGAATAATGTGGCAGTGACTCTGAAAACCTCTTTACTCGGTCTCTTTGTGTGCGAGAGCAGAGTCAGCACAGCTCCACTGGACTATGTAGTCTGCTCAGAGTAGATCAGTGTCCTCTACAAGGACGCTTCAACATGATAATGATACAGGGTCAGGCGGGGTCGGCTGTGAGGGAGCCGGCGGCTGCTAATTCTTACAGTAGCTCTGGACACTGTTCATGACTTTTACCTTTTTTGAGGAACATTAAAGGCATGGTTGACGATCAGAGAAGCAGTTGAAAAAAAATTAGCCGTTGAGGTAGATTTGAAAAAAGCATCCAACCCCCCACACAGAACTTCTCCACTATGTGCTTCATGATAACTTCCCCCTGAACCTGTGTCACCCTCCTAAGACACACCCCCTTTGGCTAAAGATCCTACGCTAGCTTCAAATAGGATTCACCATTTCGGACTGCAAGTGACTAGTGGCAGTAAATGCCAGCTCTGCTAGCGAGCGCCGTCTGCAGCCTGGACAGCTACCGTGTTGACATTGCAGAGACTAATAAGAGTTATTTATGTAACATGTGCCACAATAAAAGGCGATAAAAATTACCTGCTCAACAAAAACTTTGCTGTCTCGGCGTCTGTTTTCAAGGCCAAATCGTGGCGGAGCTTTCTCCACCGCTCTAAGGATGACCCGATGTTTATTCGAGTTAGATTCCTCACTTGGTCACATTTCCTTCATCTTTGCTCTTTCTTCTGTCGGCTTGCGCTTTCTTAGCACTTTTGGCGGTGGGGCAAACTGAAGAGTATTTTTTTTTCGTTCTTCTCCATCACAGCTCCTGTAGCTAAGCTGCTATGCTACTTTTAGCTGCTCAGAGCCCCGAGGAGGGCCAGGAGGCGATTTTTTTTTTTTTTTTAGGACGATAGGGAAAAGTCCCACCTCCTTCACCTCTGATTGGCTAGAAAAGCTGAAAATGTCATCACACGCTCAAGCCAAATGCGGGCTGTCAGCTCTGTATATCAAACATTACAGAACATTATCGCACTTCTGAATCTCCTAACCCTCATCCTAATCCTAACCCCAACCCGTCAGACGATGACGTTTCACAGCCATTAGGAATAACCAATCGGAGCCCAGCACTTCTAGCCAATAAGAGGCAAAGGAGGGCGTGGACTAACTGAGTTAGAAGCACATGAAAAACACTCAACCCGACCCAAAAAACTCAAAATTTTGCAGGTGACTCCGCCCCGCGTAATACTGTCCTCTTTGGGAATTCAGAATATGTTCATCTTACTGTTGGCATCTCCATAAACATAATTACAATCCATGGCAGCAGGATTTAATGGAGTCTGTTGTTCGCCCAGTTGATGACAGATGCTTCATCTTTGTCTAAAATCTATTCCTATTCTTGACTGAGTTCAGTCCATCTTTTACCAAATGAGTTCGGTTTCAGAGCACAGGTGTTTTTCATTATCTGGGTTGATCAGATCTGGTTAGAGGTGGATGGAGCTGTGTTGGGAAATGCTGTCTGACTGTTAAACTAATGAGAATGGTAAAAATGGGATTTTTCCTGCCAGAACAGGTGCATGAAGACTCGCACTGGGGAGTCAGTTAGATGCCGATCTATCATGATGTCTACATGCTGGGAAACCATCAATGATGTGCGCGTGAACTCTTCATATTTGCATCATATGAAGTGTTTCCTCTTCATGAACGGGGGCGTGTTTTTGCTCATGCGTCTGTATGACCTGATGGTTTGTCTCGATGAATCAAACCATCTGAACCCTGATCTTTCACTTTATTATCTTCTGTTTATAAGAGTTCAGATTTCAGAGAGGATGTTCAGAGTCTTGTTGGGACTCTTAATACTGTTAGTAAAGCCTGTGATACTCTTCCTCTTTACGACTCATGATGTCTGCTGTGAAAAAAAGCTTCTTTTTTATTGCTCCACACTCTTTTGTCTCCTTTGCAAAATTGCTTTTTGATTAAACTGTAAAATATACCGACAACTTTCATACTTCCGTAGGAGAGGTGTTATATTTTAGTATTAATGTCACATGTGACTCCTTGATACATGCTTCAAATTCTGTGTACAGTAGGAGCCGCGCTTATTGATGGCATAACGATGTAGATAATCAGAACATATAAGTGGATTTCCATACGACGCACTCCCACAGTGACTTTCAAAATGCTTAACTTGAGCATATCTTCCAAGTGATAAGCTCCTCAATGCATCTCTCATAAATGTGCCAAGCCATGACACTCGCAGACGATGCTTTCCAATGGGCCGTATATGAAATATGGGAAATGGGGAACAGAGGCCCTTTTCTGCCATGCCAGCAAAATCTCCAAAATGAGCTTTTGTAACTTGAATGGGGGGGGGTTACGAAGAGGAGGAGGAGGAGGAGGAGGGGGTCCGCACCGCCTGACGTTTACAATCCATCGCCCAGGAAGAGACTTTGGCTGCAAAAAGAGTGGTTTTTCATTTTCTCTTCTAAGATAACCTTGCTTTCTTCCTCCCCCTTTCAGAGCATCATCATTTTCCCCTCCTTTTTGTCTGGTTCACTCCTTTCCAGCTAACTTTTTAATTAACTTATATATTCTGACACAAGTCGATTAGAAACGATCAATATTTTTACAGAGGAGTGATCTTTTTTTTCTAACCCTTTCTCTTCAGTTCAACACGATCAAACGCCTCTGAAAAACAACAAGCAGACAACATGATTGACACTTGGAACGATCAAAATCAAACCAGAAAACAGTGACGTTAATTTCACTAACAACAAAATAGCTGTTGATTATGAGCCGGCAACATTTCCAGGCACTGAAACACAGCGGCACTGTGTCTCGATAAGAAATGAGTTGTGTCTGCCTGTCTCATTGTAATTAGCCTTGATTAGCATGCTGCTAATGACTGTAACAGATTGACAGAGGGGGGAAAACCGGTGTAGCGAGAACGCCTGAATGCGGGGATGTGTTTTCGCCGGCGGAGAGACACTTCACAGGGCTGGAGATGTGTGCAGGGATTTGTGTCAGCTCCCTTCAGCACTACAGAGATAAACTTCATTACTATAGATTTTAAAAAAGTGAAGATTCAAACGGGTATTGAAATGTTTCTATAAGGCGCTGGCAGAAGATGGAGCATTTAGCGATGGAAACGGCGTTTTACAGCGTGATGATTGTGGAAAACCCACACCAGGAGAAAATTCATTTCCAAGTGTAAAGTATCGCCGCAGAAATGTCATCAATTTTTCGCCGTACAGCACAACACTCTGTACTTTCTCCCTCCGTCAGCTGCACCTTTTTATTTAGGCGGTGGTTCACCAGCCTTTCCTCTGCCAACCTGCTGTCCATCAACCATCCCTCAGGGTCCGACAATAGCAAAAGCACAAGGTGTGAAATTCAGCTCCTAGATGACAGTGTCACCCGCATGAGCCCATGCAAATCTACATGGATGCAATCATGTCTGCACATTTATTTTTAGTCCACCCTGCCCCCCTCCCTCCGTACGAGCACACAAACACCGTGGAGTTTAGCACACGTCCCTCTCCTTGCAGAGCAGGATTCCGGCGCGTCTAACCTGGCCTTGAATGTGACAAACAGTGTTAGCGGTGAGCACTCTGGGCATCCAGGCGAGGAGAACAGGAGGACAGAGGAGACAAGTGTGTGTCCTTTGGTGTGTGTGTGGGTGTGGGGGGTTGTAGGCTGGTCAAGGGACAGCAGAAGGGAAAAAACCTAAATATAGATGTGAAGATTTTCAAAAGATTCATAGACAATCATGGTTTGGATACTGTTGAATGGTTTGGGTTATTTTTAAGGTGCAAGTGTCAGACATGTACTGGTCCAGCTTTTGAGACCTTCAGGGAGGAGTTTTTGAATCAAACAGACTCATAAACACAAACCAGACCATCAACTTAACCTGACCCACCACTACACTGTCAGTCAGATGTGTGTGAGTGTGGTAATCCATCGTAAGTGTTGTTTGGTAAATTGTAGTTGTGCTTGTTCAGGGCAGGAAAACAAGTATGACGCAAATGGGATGTACTAGAGTGACCATATATCCTCTTTTACCCAGACATGTCCTCTTTTTTGGGGGGCTGTCTGGCCTCTTCCAGGGGAGTTTATGACATCCTTCAAATGTCTGGGGTTTTGTATGGAAGTTTTGAGGTTGTGTCGTGTAGACTTACTGGGTTAGAAGCGTGGAAAAAACACTCATTCTGACCCAAAAAACTCTCAAAACTAACTACGCATGACTCCGCCCCCGTTGTGTCCTTTTTTTGGGGATTCAGAATATGGTCACCCTAGACGTACCACTTTATCTGCAGGCGTCACCACCAAACTTGTGGTAATTCCACTCTTACGTTTCTAAAATTGTTAGGATTTGTGCTGCCTTAAATTTAAATTAGAAGTCTATGAGTTTACCGTAAAACCTTTAATAGGGGTTCTCCTGAAATGTAAGATGAAAAAACAGCGATAAATAATTAAAACCATCCTTCCAAGTTATTTCAACATTGCTTGAAATAAAGATGTAGAAACTCTTGAGGGCTGTAGCTCAAGTAGCACAACTCTAACTTGTGCACAGTTTTTTGCACAAGTTGGGATCCTGAATAAATGGACATGTGATAGAAACAGATTTAGATGGGTCGCAAATCATTTAAACTCTGTTAACCTGAAAGAGCACAAAGACAGCAAATCAGATGTTATTGTAGGGCTAGGCGATAAACCGAATATTTACTGATACCGAAACTTACAATGATAACCAACATCATTTTGCCCATGTCAATATATTCTGTGACAAAAAAATAAATAAAAGTTGGTTTTGGATGTGTGTAGGTAGGCTACGGTCTCATGTCCCTTTAAGACACTGTCCTACGCCATCCAGTCAGTAACAAAGAGGGAAAGACAGGAGAGGAGATGGAGGACGGTTCAAAAGTTGTAGCGGCTGAAGTATACGACGTTAATGTGGGAGGGGGTGAGCAGCTTGTGGAGTAGTTATCGTCCATTTATCAAGGTGAACTGCTCAATATATCGTGATATTGATTTAAGACCATATCACCCAGCCCTACCATAGTGCTCTACTACCTGGATGTAAACAAACCCAGATGATAAATGATCGTATTGTATTTTCTCCCCAGTTGTGCAACCATCTCTGTCCAGTTTGCAGTTCTTCTGGCTACATGCAGAATAATTTGATTCAACATCCTGAAATTTAAACTTTTTAACTCTCCTAAGTTTGCACACTTCTTCTTTCTTTATATAATATGTATCCTGTTCTGTCTACCAATATCATATCAGACGCTCGCATGCTATCACAGGTGGACTCCCCTACCTCTGTGCTCTGTTGGGTGCTTGAGCATTGAGCACAGCAGTGGTGGTCCTCGCTGAGACAGGCCCCTCTCCTACAAACCCGAGCACACATTCACACACTTCCAAACATACACTCGTTTTCCCCCCACGGGTGCTTGGTGCCTGTGCTGTGTCATAAATCAGAGCTGTCAAATAGATTTTACAGCTCACAGTGAAAAGAGGAGAGGCAGCCACCCAACAACCTTGAAAAGATGGAAGAAAGCGAAAGTAGAGAAGTTTCAGTGTTATTAAACCTGATACTTGGACCTGAGGAATCTATAAAGAGTGAGTGGACAGTTTTTCACTGCTCAGATCAGGCGTGCAACTTTCACAGTCTGGAGCCTGTGTCTTACAGTATGTGTTTGGATTAGAAAAATAATCTTTAATTTACCTGCTTTAATCTAATAATTCAAGTATCAGCTTTCATCTTTGTCTGTAGATTGATTTTAATGCAACACCAGCAGGAAATCCTCAGAAAGGATGAATCAGCAAAAAAAAAATACACATTTTTTCTGCATTTTTTAAAAACTGCATGGCATAAGTGAGGCAAAGATTGTAATTCCAATGATTGATTAGATTAATTAGTGTGTATGGTTTGCTGTTTATGCTAAATGCACGTGTAGATGGAGATGCAGTGGTGTATTAAGCTGCAGATAACCAGATCAGACTTGGTAGTAGGGCTGGGTGATAAACCGAAAATTTAACAATATCGAAATTTATGACAATAACAGTCATTTTGCCCATGTCAGTATATACGGTGTCAAAAAAATGAATAAACAAAAGTTGGTTTTGGATGTGTGTAGGTAGGCTATGGTCTCATGTCCGTTTAAGACGCTGTCCTACATCAGAGACGTGACTCCACCCCATCCAGTCCATAACAAAGAGAGAAAGACAGGAGAGGAGATGGAGGACGGTTCAAAAGTTGTAGCGGCTGAAATAGACGAATTCATGTGGGAGGGGGTGAACATCTGTGGAGTAGTTATCATCCATTTATTGTAATCGAGGTGAACTGCTCACTATATCATAATTTTGATTTGAGGCCATATTGCCTAGCCCTACTCATATGTATGTTTAATTTAGAGTTTAATCACCAGAATGCAAATAGATCTTTTATATCCTGTATATATAAACTCATAGGTGCAGATCTTTGTTCACATAAGCTTTTACAGGAGCCTGGAATAATCAAAACTGTGAGATTTGAGTGAAATTTTTGGATTTAGTCAGTGACCACAGGGAATGAAATATTTCAAGGATAAAGAAGAAAAGGAGAGTGGTTGTTGGTGCATGAAAGAATTTTTACAGATAGAGGTTTTTGATGGTAAAAACTTGACTGTTGAAGGATCGTCCTTCACTGCAGTGGGGGCAAGTAAGGGAGCATGTCAGTCTTGAATCAGACCTCTATTCATTGCTAAGTATTCCCTTATTCAGGACTTTTATATGTCAAAAAAACAACTTTGGGCATTAAATATTTTGATATCAGCGCTGATTCAGAGATCTGAAAGAGAAAATCAAACAAACAGGATCACATCTAAACCACCAGAATTTACTTTTTCTCCCTCTCCATGGTTCTAAATCTTTCTATATGTGTACCTTTTTTCACTCATTTGAAGTGTTCATCATCTCAGAAACTCTCTCTATCCGAGCTCATCCGGCTAAATTCCCTGATTGGACGAGTCTTATTGGATGTCAGATCTTGAATCGCTGCTTCTTAATATGCAAAATGGGAAAATCATGTACGTCCAGCAGCAGGGCTCAGAAGGCAAATCAGTCCTGGCAGCCTAATTCACTGGTCATTAGAAGGGCCAAATTGAATAATGGACTCCCACTTAGACGTGTGTGTGTGTGCGCGCGCGTGTGTGTCTGTTCAATGAGACATCCAGGGCCATGTTGGGTGGCCGTACTCTGTGGCGCCCTTACCTTGGCCCATCAGTTTCAATCAGGCGGCGCGACAGGCACTCCCTTTTCCGCCTCGACCTCTCTCCATTAGGACCCTGATGCCCGCACGTGTTCTTCATTAGCGCGTGTTACCTGCTGGAAGACATCACCTGAGAGGGATGAGGAAAGTTCGGACTCCACACCAAAAAAAAAAAAAAAAATCCTATTTCTATTGAGATTCTTCCTCTTTCCCTCCTCTTTGAGGTAATCACTGGACTGTCGCAGCTTTATTGGGGAAAGTAATGGGATTCTTGGGATGGCGACTGTGGCACTCAGTTATCAAGACGCATACATGTGCTGTTAGCAATGATCCTACTACTCCTGATTGTGCCTCTTCCTCTTTATTTCCTCCTCCAGCCTCTCAGTTTGAAAAGTCTTTGTACATTTGTTAAAATTCGCACATTTATCCGCCGCTTATACTCTACAGAAAAAAAACTGTCGGGAACACGGCTGACACAGAAGTATGAAACGCTTTGAAGGAAGAAGAGGACTTTAAAGTTTAATTATGTACAGATCTTTTCTCTCTCTCGCTCAAAGTTAATAAAAAGCAGAAAGTTTATTAAAAGTAATTTAGCCAGAATAAATCAAAACACTACGAGTCGAGTCAACAAAGTTAAAAGACGAGCTCTTCATCTGCAGCAAAGGGATTTAAAACGGCAACTTCAGTGCTGCGGATAAAAGCATAAATAACATGAATAAGGGCTGTGAACACAAGTGAATTAATAGTCATAAAATAAACACAGTAGATTCATCATTTTTACCTTCATTGCTCAGTTTTATGTTTGTAATAGTGACTTCTTTAACTTCATGCTCTGCTCCAGTGCGACGGCTGGATGGTACTCCGTTGTTTCTTTCTTTGTCCAGGTTCGAGGACCTGTTTTATATTTGATTATTTGAGCAGTAGAATAAAAACCCTCCTGGTTCTGTAGCTCAATAGGGATGAAGATTGATAATCAGTCCTTTAAATCTTTAAAATCCCGTCGCGGCGAAGCTCAATCACCGCCAAAAAGAAAAGAAGAGAAATATTCACAACAAGTGACAAAGAAGTAAATAGGACATCCTGGTGATTTAGGAAGGCCTGATATGCCTTGGAAAGTGATTTTATGTGAGGGATCAGACAGGAATGGGATGGATTGGAGTGGTAGCGCAGCCCGGTGGGCCTATCAGTCAGCGTTAGAGCTGCTGAGAGGGCTGTCTCCAAGGCGGCCTCTCATGCACTGGCCATTTCCCCCGGCCATTTGTCTTTGTCCACTTTCTTTCCCTTTCCTTGCCCATTCTTTCTTCCTTCCATCTCCTCCTCCTCCTCATCTTCGATTCCTCATCTCGGACTCTCATTTTTGTTCGATCTGTTTCTCCTCTCTTTTCTTCGGCTTTATGATCATCATCATGGCTCTCATGTTTTCTCTCTTTTTCATCTATTCCTCCAGGAAAACAAGCCATTTTTTCCTCTGGAGAAGCGAGAGAGGAGCTAAATTACTTTAGTTTTCATGAAACTTGTGTTTAAAGCCCCCTGGATTAGTCACCCATAACAGAAACTCTAACTTGTTGGCACTTTAGTGGAGCTCTTCGAGGCAGGGGAAGTAAATTCTTATGGCTTTCATTTGTATTTTTCTAAATGATCACACTGAAAGGATCCAAACAGTAAGTGCTTTACTGGTGCAGTTAGCGTCACATTTTTCACGGCTTTCCAGGAAGAGTGTAGAAGTCTCTAAACACACCCGTAACGCTGAGTCAGTCTAATGTGGCCTGTTTTCTGCAATTTGTGTCATCGTTTTTCTTGGATATAGCAAGTCAGCTATAATGGAAGTTCTCCACGGATGTAGAGTTGTACTCCTACTGTATAACAACGGCAGACTCACAAAGAGAAAACTTAACAACCAAATGCTCTTTTTAAAATTTTTAAATTCAGCACTCAGTACATGTACATGCACTTAAAAAAATCTACTTATTGTAATAATCTGACTGAAAATTGATTTTTAAGATGCGTGCAAACAGTTAGTCCAACTGAAATCAAACTTCTCATTGTGGGACTAGCATACATGGATTATGCGGTTGGAGCTCAATTTTCTCTCGCATGCACATACGCCTGGCTCTAATCCTGTAGTTGAATATAGGGCTGGGCGATAAAACGTAAATTAACCAACGTCATTTTGCCCATGTCAGTATAATCAGTGTCAAAAAAATAAATAAATAAAAGTTGGTTTTGGATGTGTGTAGGTAGGCTATGGTCTCATGTCCCTTTAAGACGCTGTCCTATGTCAGAGACGTGACTCCACCCCAACCAGTCCATAACAAAGAGGGAAAGACAGGTGAGGAGATGGAGGACGGTTCAAAAGTTGTAGAGGCTGAAGTAAAAGAAGTTAATGTGGGAGAGGGTGAGCAGCTCGTGGAGCGGTTATCTTCCATTTATCGTTATCGAGGTGAACTGCTCAATATATCATGATATTGATTTTAAGGCCATATCGCCCAGCCCTAGTTGAATGGCATTGAGAGTTGCTAAGAAGCCAGGTCGGAAACAAAACCTTGACAGACGAAAAAAAGGACGCAAGACACAAGACGAAACTTTCCGAGCCGTAAAAGTGACGTCCTGTTAGCCTCTCTCTTCTCTTTGATCACCTGTAGAGTTTGTGTCTGGTACTGCAGGTTATCAGAGCTGAAGGGGCAGGGAGCGACGAGGGATCATCTATATCATTGATCAGGGATGGCGATCTTATACGTCTATAAAAAGGAAAAATGCGATAATTAGGGGTGGGAGGAAAAATTGATACAGCAAAGTATCACAATATTTTGTCTGGTGATATATCGTATCGACACATTTACCAAGTAAAGATTTTTCAAATTTCGATTTTTTTAAAGTCAAATCTATGATAATGGAAAAAAGTAAAATCAACTGGTTGTCCAGTTTGCAAGATGCGCTACATGAAAATAAAATACAGCATAAATAAGACAAACATAAAGTAAAGACAAATTCAAAATTAGCTTAACAGTTGAAAAATATATATAAATTGCAATATATTGAATCGCAATGCTCACTTTAGTGCCAAATGTGAAAAAGCGCAATAATAAAATCGTATCATGGCCCAAGTATCCTGATAATATTGTATCATGGGGCCACTAGTGATTCCCACCCTTAGCCATAATGAGTTGGGTAGCTTAAAATATTTAAGTATCCTTTGTGGGAAACAGAGACTTCCAGTAAAGACAGTATTACTTATTCTAAAGGGACATGATGATTCAAAGTTAATGACACAGACGGAAAGAGGATGGAGAAGGAGGGAGAGGTGCTGTATGAAAAGCACCTTGTTTGTTTGTTTGTTTGTTTGTTTGTTTGTTTAATGTGAAGCGGCAGAAGACAGAGAGTCAGTTAAAAAAAACCTACATCAGAATTAATCTTTGTCTTAAATCAATAAAGAAATGTAACATCAACTCCTGACTTTATTCATAACTCTCACAAAAGCTGAACTGATTCCTCCTCAAACTTAAACTCCTTTAGCTCTTTTTCTGTCTGCGTTTATGTAAAGGTGTTTAACCACACTGTTCGCAGTCTGCGACGTGCCGACCTCGAGGCTGAGGAGTCGGTCTTCGTGGTGTTGATGAACACAGAAAGTGAGGACAGCCGTTAAGCTATAACCTCCTCTTATGCCCCTCTCCACCCCTGACTCTCCTGGCCACTCACTCTGATGATTTATGACCACACCTGAAGCCAGATCAGAAGTTTGCTCTTGTGTTTGTGTTTTAAAACAGCAGAAGGACTATACTGTAGCTGTGTGTGTAAGAGAGGGAAGTAAACGGTTGGAAAAAAAGAAAGTGTGCGTAGTTTTAAAGTCACAAAAGATGGAAAATGCATGAGGATTTTTTTTAGCTTCGAGCTGAATGCTAAAATTGTGCGGTGTGTTGTTTGGGGGGCTTTTGATGCATACATAGTGGGGAATATTGAATAGCATGTTGCAAACAGAGGCGCATGTGTGTGTGTTTTTATGTGTAGAGACCCCATTATTTCAGACCTGGCCTTTATGACTCCCCCCCCCCAACACTCCCCCTACCTTCTCCATGAACCTTGACATGGCCAGCCTCCTGAAATGCAATCTCCCATAAAACCCATCAAATAAAAAATTCATATTGATACTCTGTGGCTCAGCTTTCTCCACCTTCTCCTTCTCTCACCATCAGCGCTCCATGATGATAAACGACCGACTGTCAGATATTAGAGTCTGGAACACAATAAAAGCCTGATTCTCGCCTCTTTTCAACATCTCTCCAGGCCTGCAGGGCTAGTTTTCTTTTTTTTTTCCTCTGACAAATTTTTGCATTTGAGGAAAAATCAAATATAGCTCTGTTGGCGTTAGGATGAGACTCTTATCAAAAGTAAAGGTGCAGGTGAATTAAAAAAGTGCTCACGTTTCATATTCAATAAGTTATTTTTGATAGGAGTCAATGACTGAGATTACTACACTTAACAAAAACTGATGGATTTCATATTTGATGTTTAATTTACCAGCTTAAAGGGATAAAGGGTCGCATGTAATAATGTCTTTCAATCAAAGGAGATGTTACGTAGGACTTTGTTAGTGTATATCTGAAGTAATGGACGGCCTCGTGGGACTTTAGTTTGTATTATCATGCACATCAAAGTAAGCCCTGGTGTCTTATTTCTAAATTAGCTGTGCCGCAGGAGCTCAAATCACAATGTGTGTACGACGGCAGTGCCCGTTTCTCCCCCTTAACTCCCAGCTGAGCCTCTGTGGCGGTCCATTACCCAGCAAGCCCTGGTGTTCTGCTGCGAGCCACGAAAGCGTCCCGGAGAGCCTGTCGAATAAGCGGTCAGTTAGGCAAGCAGGTCGTCTGATGCAAATGTCCACATGATGCCGAGGATGTCTGACTGACACTCAGCACCCTTCAGGAAGCCGTCCTTACTTTAGATAACAACAGAAGTACAACTTTTTATTCAACTCTGATTATTTACCCGTTCAGCACAAAATCAATACTTTTCATCTTAACAATCCTGTCAGGGGTTATTAGCACACCTGAGTAAACGTCCCTTACAACCGCAGCACTGAATCACACATCCCCTCATTCTCCAAACATGTTTGTTATCTGCTTCTCTGCTGTGTACTGCAGGTATGAAGGGCACACACAAGTGCAATTTGAAATACAAGGAAACAACCTTCAAACATGACCCCTGGGATTGGTTCTGTTCAAGGGCCACCTAAAAAACTTCAAACCTTGGAAAATCACAGATTTTAACATTGAACAAGACGACAGGATTGTTGAATCAACAGCTCGTAGGAAAAAAAGGTTTCCTTTCAATGTTTCGGCCATTCAGTTTGGGGGTTTTTGAAGGTCAATGCCAGGTTAGACTGAACAGTTCTCTACATTTTTAGTTTGATTTAACTAGAGCATTTCATTTGTAAGAAAGAAAAGTCTTAAATTTCCAGGATAGATTCACATTCAGACTTCTTTTGTAGTGGCATTAATGTGATTGCGGTCTAACAGGATGTGTTTTTGTTGCAAGGTTTAACGCTGTCCTTCAACTCAACAGCTCTCGTTGAAAAGGAAAGGAAATAAAACGGCCTTCTGAGGAAACACTGTGATCTAAGGTCGAGTATCAGAAGCTTCAAGTTTCATACTGAAACAAAATTACTACATGTAGGAGCTGTTGAAGGCGTCAAAAGTGCGACAAATAAAAGATAGAGGAATATAGATTTGTAATTTGAAGGTAGGGCTGGGCGATATGGCCTCAAATCAATATTACGATATATTGAGCAGTTCACCTCGATTACCCTAAATGGATGATAACTACTCCACAAGCTGCTCAACCCCTCCCACATTAACTTCGTCTACTTCAGCCGCTACAACTTTTGAACCGTCCTCCATCTCCTCACCTGTCTTTCCCTCTTTGTTACAGACTGGATGGGGTGGAGTCACGTCTCTGACATAGGACTGCATCTTAAAGGGACATGAGACCATAGCCTACCTACACATATCCAAACCAACTTTATTTTTTTGACACTGAATATATTGACATGGGCAAAATGACGTTGATTTTTGTCGTAAATTTTGGTATCTGTAAATTTCCGGTTTATCACACAGCCCTACTACAGAGGGTAAGAGTTGTACAACATCAAACCAATCAACGTAAACAAATCCTTGCGCTGAAATGTCCAAATAATCCTTATATTTTCTAAAACTGACACTGTCTAAGGCGTTTGTTTGTAAAATCCAAACATTTATGTGGTTTGTTTTAAGACATCGAATATATTGATTCGGGCAAAATGACGTCGGTTATTGTTGTAAATTTCGCTACCAATAAATTTTCGGTTTATCGCCCAGCCCTATTTGAAGGTTTTCATAATATGTGAGAAAATTATGAAGACCTTTATAGACATCACCTCCTTTAAAAACACAGGTTATGGAAGATTATGTTATAAACACAAGACGATATTGAAGTTGACAATAAAAACAGAAAACAAACCTCAACGGAAGAAATTGTCATGTCAACAATAAAGTCAAAAACATCTGAAGTCGACACTGTGATTCCTGGGAGCTGCGGTGTTTTTGTTTGGGCTCCTTCTGGCAACATAAAGAGGAACTCTTAGATCACACAGACGCGTATAACAAGGCTGTGTTTGTGCAGCGATGCATTCTCCGCTGTTTCCTCTTGATGTGCTGACAGGAGCTGAGCGGTGGCTGTTTTTAGTGCCTGTCAACACGGCGGCATGACAGTCCTCGGAAAAGTTAGAAGAAGGAGGCTTTTCTTTCTTAATAAACCGCTAATGTCGTCGCTGGAATCCTTCACTGGGCTCAAACACAAGGCAGTGAAGCCAAAAATTATGGGCGAATGAGAAGTACTGAATGAATTTCCCTTATAAATAACTCATAAAGTAAGACCTGAGCGGTTTCCAGTCATTAGAGCTGACTTTAATAGATCTGTCTGCCAGGACTTTGCAGTGCATTTGGTGTCTTTTTCTTAAAACAAGTTTGTTTAAATTACAGTTGACCCTGCACGCTTTGAGTGAAAGGTAAAAGTAAAGGAGTGGAGTGTTTTCAAAGCTCTGCTGCCTCCCCCACTGTCTTCATAATGACACCAAACAGCAAACCTTTTATGTGAGGTGACACTCAAAACAGTTCGCCCAATCAGAGGCCATCATCTTGTCAAAGGACCAATTAGACCCCATCTTTCCATCAGTGGTCCAATTGCCATGTTATCATCGGTACAAATTACAACTCTGTTGACTTGTGGTCCTTAGGTGGTGTTGGCTGCTTTTACTGAAATACTGTCATGCATGTGTGTCGGGCGGGGGGTCAGCTAAAGTGTGCAGAAGGTTGACCTGCAGTCACTTCCAACATCGGTGTAAAACAAAGTGAAGAGAAGAATTGGTCTGAGTGAACACCTGGATTTCTTTAGAGCTCAAAATCAATGATGAGTTTTGCTGCTCTGTTGAAGTTGAGTTTTGAATAACGCTGTGTTCGTGTTACCTCGGAAGTTGGATGTTGGAGCTGGCGTTACACATGAGTTGACGGCGTTCCAGTTAACAAGTCAGAAAACCAAGATGGATGTCTACTGTTAGCCGTTGTCAGCTGTTGTTAGTTGTTGTTAGCTATACCAGTTGTAAACAACACAGTATTTTATTCTTACAAAACCCATAGCACCGTGTTCACAGTTAAACGTTGGGCAGTACAACATAAACCACTCATTTAATTTCACAAAAACAAAACAGAAGTGCTAATAAACTAAACTAAAACAGTTACTCTTAACTGTCGATGCACTGTGCTGCCATCTTGGATTATGACGTTGTTGTCAAGTCAGGTTTGTGAGGATCGTCTGACTTTCCGAGTCGGAAATCCGACTTCAGGGGGGTATTCCGAATGAATTTCCGACTCGGAGCTCAGAAATCCTGACTTCTGAATACAACTGGAACGCAGCATAAGCCAAAAGTTAAACCTTCCTGATAATGGCGCAGTAGAGAACAGGTGCAACAGGTGATATAGGATGGTAAATGAGTCAACAAACCAGTGGATTCAGACACCACAAGTTTAGCCATTTAGAGTTTAGGGTTTAGTGTACTACTCAAGGAGTCTTAAACATGTTGGTGCTGTAGCTGGGATCAAACCAACAACCGACTGGACCACTGATTCACAGCTAACAGATTCTGATAGTGTCTCAAAGCAACTCAAATAGGGCCAACTAACAACTATTTTATAGTTGACTAGTCACCGACTATTAGAACAATTCATCCACTAATCGGATAATTTTAAATATATATATTTTTTGCCTTATATAGTCCCAAACTAGAGGTTTTTAAGCACGTTCTCGTAGCTGGTGGATGAGGCACCGGCACCTCCATGTCTGAATACCCTACCACTTGGCGGAGACGCTATTGCTCATGTGTGACTCTATAATCATAACAAAGTAAGATGCCTCACTCTACTGGAAATAACACGTTTTAGACTCAGTTAGCTAAATTTAAACTGGAAGGACCAATGAGGAGAAGCCCTACCACAACATAAGCAATGGGGAACAATTCGTAGGCTACAACGAAAAATATACAATTATAATAAATCTAAAAGAGTCAGATTTATGCCATTAAGTGTTATCTAACCAAGGATCAGCAGTGCACTGAACAAAAGCTTGAAAAAGCCAAATTCAGAGGGAAACACTCAAGCTTGTTTGAATTCTATAGACCAATCACAGCTTGCATGGGGCAAACCCTTTGCAGAGAACTTTTGCAAAATAGTGCCATTACTAGGAACTTTTTTGGTGAATGATCTGCATGCATAACGCTGAACTTTTTCAGAGTAGTCCCTCACCGTTAGCAGCATGAGGTTTGGCACACGAGTTGCTTTCACACTAGAAAGACGAGGCATTCCTTAATATTTCTTTCAGTGACATAACAGAGAATAATCTTGCAAACTAGATGCAGTTAGAAGTGGTTCAAAAACAAGTTCATTCTGGCATCAGCCGTGGACATGAAAGTTTCTTGGCTGTTCTTGATGTTGATCACCCTGGACCTCCTGCAGACATGTTGGATGAAGCTCGATCTCTTCAATCTGGACTGAACTGCAGATAAACATTCAGTGTGTAAATGTAAGACAGCCAGACTGATCCAGACCTTGAAAGAGTTGATCTTAAATCCTTCAGTTTGCTAATTCATTACCACTCTGTGTATTCACATAAATGCATATTTACTTGTGCTCCATTTCAGTGTTTGATAAGCATGTTTAGTTTGACGTATCATTAGAGGTTGGCTCATCCTGCATATTTTTACACAAGGTAGTATCCCCTGTGGTTTCCAGAGTTATTTTTGAGGTCTGAAGTTGATCTGAGACTATTTTGACGGAGGATCTGACTTCCTTCAGCGGCCCTCATGAGCAGATTTTTTCATTCCGCCAAGGGCAGACCTCTCCATCGCCTTCTGTTTTAGGGCAGATAATGATTCTCTTTTATTTGGAATAGGATTGCATTTTCTCTCTCCCTCATCCTCTATCCTTCCCTCACCTTTACCTTTCCATCTCCCACTCCGCCCCCCTGCACCACTCTCCCTCCTGTCGCTTGGCCGCTGCTCCTCCATGGCGGCGATGCTCTATCGCTCCGTCACAGCGCGAGCGAGGGATGAGAGACAAATCAAAACCACCTTATTTCCCTTCAGTCCCCCTCACCATGCCAGATTGAATTTGAGGTTTTTCATCTTCTTTCTCATCTTTCTCTTTTCCCTGCCTCCCTCCGCGTCCACTGCGAATTACCTGGATCCAAGCCATCTCACAACTCCATGACGCAGTATCATTTATGCATATAGAGGGAGATAGTCAGCAGCGCTCGCTGTTGATTCTTTGGACTCACTATAAATCCACTTTTTAGATGTGTGTGTTCAAAAGTGATCAGCACTCAAATCTATCAAGTGTCCCTGCTTGCTTTTCAAGTGGTTCAATACATGGAAATCTGCATGTTAGTTTTGCTGACTTTAATGTTCAAACACGGTTAGGGTTTGAGGAAATGCTGCAGTGCATCAGAACATAATTATCAATGGTGCTGTGAATCTCCATTTTATCTGCAGTTTGACGGCAGTCAAAATGTAAACATATATATATACTGTATATTTTTTCTGACCAGCACTGGAGAGGTTTAATTCAAAGCTTGCAGAGATATAGACTAAATCACAGAATTCGTCCATCTGGTATCACAGCAAAGATAGCTGCGCATATCAGGATTTAAAATTATTCTTAACTTGATAGTTGTGTTGCTCCCAACTCGAAAAAATTGTAGAGCATCAGCAAAAAAAAGTAGGAGTGCCCTTTTGAAAATGAAGGAGCACCTCAGTCTACTGTGCACAGCTTCCACTTTTCTACTCGTACTCCTCAGTTTTTAAGATATTCAGGGTTAGGGATGGGAATCGATAAGATTTTATCAATATCGATGTTATTATCGATTCTGCTTCTTGATTCAATTCATTATTCATTCCCTTATCAATGCCTTTCTTTGATTTAAGAAAAAAAGTAGACTATATGTTTTCACTGTTAACTCTGAATTTTATTGAGTCTCTGACAAAACAAAAATGCTATTTGTACAGCGTTTCTGGCATACATTGTGCTTATGTTAACACAGGACATACATTAGTGTGACCATGTTCTGAATCCCTCAAAAAAAGACAAATTTTGAGGGTTTTTGGGTCGGGTCAAGTGTTTTTATGCACTTCTAACCCAGTTAAAGGCATATTCTGAATCCCCAAAGACAGTGCATGTGTGTGTCCATTAGTGGCTTTGCTTAGAAGTGATCAGAGGGGCAGAGCTGCAGAACGCAATGATGTGCTGCACTGTTTTATAATGAATGAATACATGTTCTGGACATTTGAAGGATCTTATAAACTCCCCTGGACAGCCCCCCAAAAGGGGACATGTTCGGGTAAAAGTGGACTTATGGTCACACTAACATATGTACCTTCCATGCCGTGCTGAGATGGGGCAGCAGCGGCTGACGACCAGCGGAGAGCATCGAATACATGTGACTCCATATATTTGATGCCCTGCCCCGTTGACAAATGTTTAAGAATGTTGCTGGTGTTTCCACCTTTGCATATTATCACTGCTTGACAAACGTTGGACTGTTGTAATCTTTCTTAGTGAAATTTAGCCACATTTTAGATCGTTTGTGTACTTTCCATCTGTCATGTCTCTGTTCCTGTTTACGTAGACTGGCACTCACGAGAGCGTTTTTTAAGGCACCAGGAAGAAAGGAATCGTTAAGATAAAATGTAAATGATGTCGATGGATTGAACCATTTGGAACCGGTTCTCAACAACAACTAGTTCTTGATTCCCATCCGTACTCCCAACTTGGAAAAATTGTAAAGCATCAGCAAAAGAAAGTAGGAGCGCCCTTTTGAAAATGAAGGAGCACCTCAGTCCACTTTGCAGCGCCTCCACCTCTCTACTCGTACTCTTCAGTTTTTAAGATGTTCAGGGTTTTAAGTTTGGTCTCATCATGGGAACGGCTGACTTGACTGAAAGGCAGACGCACTGTGGCTGTTACGACCTCACCATTCAATCACCTTTCCCTACATTAGTGACATTTAAGAGATAAAAAGGTCACACCGCATCAACCATTTTTGCACAAATGCTCACACGTATATATTGAGGTCACTTCGCATGATTATGCAATCACAGCGGCTGCGGTTTCAAGCCATGCATATGTATCCAAGAACTCCTTTTCAGCTTCAATATTTATCTTGTGTTGTTCTAAATATTCAGACCTGCGAGTGTTTGTTCAACATTTTGGTTGAAATCAATCAAGTTACACCGATTTGCATACAGCAGACTCTGCATGCAGCACAACACTTATTTCATTCCGTCAATAATACATCCTATTTTGTGAGAATTCAGACTCCCCTGATTCCCTTACCGACACTTCTTTTCTTTAATATTAATCAAAGCATTTCAAGAGTGATCATTAATCTCACTCAACACCAAAATATCAGATTTCACTTCAGGTTACAGGGTGTGAGGAAAAGGTCCTTTCTGAGAAGCTGTGCCCTTTACTTCTAAAGACACACACACACACACACATATGCAAAAAAAAAACACACACTCACGCTCTCATATTATGAAACCTCCCCGCTGATTGCATCTGATTTCAGGAATAGTTACAGATTTATGACCGAGGCAGGCTCATCTGAAAATCAAAACTGACAGGCACATTTGCATTGCGTGCTGATTAACCTGCACAGCTGTGTGTGTGTGTTTGTGTGTGTGTGTGTGTGTGTGTGTGTGTGTCGGAGGAAGCTTGAATGCATGAGTAACAGCCCAGTGTTGTAAAATATTTAGTTGAAATCAGATTTTTTTATTTTGATACCTTTCGCCTTAATTGCTCTAATTCTGGGGTCCAGCTTTATTATCGGCGTTAAGGTACGATAAACTCCTCTGTTCAAACTTTTCTCATCCTACAAGTTTAACTCAATAATTTAAAGTCTGGAGGCATGAAACACTGCAGGAGTAACAGCCTGTCGGTGCAGCGTGCCGATGTGGTTGTGAGTGTGCGGGGGCCGGGGGGCACCTGGATCCTGCTACCTGAGAAAAATGACTCCCATCTCCCACTCCGTTGGACCTGCTCCCACCCAGCCTCCCTCCCCCTCACCCCACCTTTTCATTTTCAATTATGGGTTAGAATATGAATCTTTAATAGGGTGATAATTGTGCTAGCATATTTGCTGTCACCCACCATTAGCCCAGATTAATTAGCCCATTTACTTTAGCTTAAGAAAGTGTCTGGCTGAGGAATGGGGGCACTGATGGAAGACGAGTGGAGAGAGAGTAGAATCAGCACAATCTGTTCTGTATCATAATGCCATCTTTCTCCTGCTTTCTCTCTGTCTCTTCGTGCCGTTCGCCTCTCTGCCTCCTCCCTTAACTTTCCTCTTTCTCTCATCTTACTTACTCTGTTAGTCTGTTTCATCACTCTGCACTCAGCTGCTCCTCATCCAAGGAATATGGGGGGAAGAGTCGTGCAGATGAAACTTTCTTAAAAATATTATCCCTGTAATTAGACATGTCCCTGTACAGTTAGCATTTTTGAAGCCCTTTCTCATGAAAATGACGTCCCAGCCGGCTGAGTTATTATCAAAAACTAATCATGGTTGACTGAAATCACCAACGAAGTTACAGAAACTAAAAGTTAGGTTTTATTACTGGCTTCCTTTTGACATCAACACAACAAATTGATAAACTTTGGGGCGCACAGATGGCCTAGCAGGTTAGCGCACCCCATGTATGAGGACCAAAGTCCCCGCGGCAGTCGTGGGTTTGAGTCCATCCCCAACCATGTGCTGCATGTCATCCCCATATACATAATATTTCCCCATGTTTCCATACTGTCCTACCCATAAAGGCAAAAATCGCTCCAAAAAATACATAAACTTTGATAGCGGTCAAACTTGACCTTTATCAGCATAAAAAACCAAGCGTCTGCTCTCCCTCCTGGAAAAATAATAATCACAATAACAATAATAATGATAATTTATATAGAATTATCAAAACAGATGTTACAAAGTGCTTCACAATCATAAAAGCTCATGATATGGGAATAAAACAGAGAGACTAAATTGCAAGACATCCCATAAAAGAAGACGACAAAACTTTAACAAAGGCTGTTAAAAAGTAATACTAAAAGCAATTAAAACAGCGGCTGGAAAGAAGAAACAATAATCTCACTAAATAATTAAAGCACCATGTTTAAATGATGCATAAGAAGATGGTTTTGGACAATCAAATTCATTTTCACAAGAAGACTCTGATGGGGTTTTTGTCAGAGATCCTCTGGAAGAATCAACCAACACAAACGTCAACGATCTTCGCGTAGTTATGGAAGTTTTAGCCAAGTTAGCATCATGTGCTGGTTTCATCTTGGCATCAAGCATGAATTTGTGGTCGGGTTCGAGATTGAAATGCTGCTTGTTTGTAGCGAGACCTCAGGCCAGTCCCTTATGGACTACAACGGGGTGTCACAGCTCAAGGAAGAACATTTAGGATTATTTCGTCATGGAAATGCAATCAGACCGAGACGCTAAGGCAGAAGAACTACCTCGTCTGCAGTGCAAAATGATTAATATGGTGATTATTACTTCAAGGAAATGATAAAGAAATGACCATAAATGTTCCTTCTTGAGCTGCGTCACCCCGCAGCAGTCAGTGGACTCGGGGGGTCTTCGTACAAACAAGCGGCTGCTGGAAGAGAGTAGGTGAGTTGTGTTTAGTCTCTTTGCTAAAGAAATCAGGCAAAGTTAAAGATGTTTGGTGGCTAGTACTATGGCTGGGACCTTATATGTACTCTTGATGAAGTTAGGTGCTGTTCTGAGCATTATTTGTGGCTATAGAGTGGCGTTTTGGTTGAGCGCGTGGTTCTCTGTATTGCTATCCTGTGGTGGTTACTAAAGTTGGTATAACTAGAGAAGCAAGCGGTCGGCAACATTCATCTCTCGACAGGGTGTCTAATTCGGTGTTACGGTGTGTTTGACCCTAACTTAATTTTACGCTGGAATATCCCTTTAAATTTCTACTATCACAAAATCCTGGTTACTCACTCCAAATAAAAACACAAGTTTGCAGTCTTGCTGATACAGAGTTCTTGGGTTGTATTTGGCTGCTAAAATAAAGAATGAATAAATAAAAAACAAGACATATAGCACAATGTCTTTCTATTATACCGTACATCACAACTCTATGGTGTTGGTTCCTTCTCATTGCTTTTGGTAATGTTACCTTTTTTCTACAGTAAAGGTTAGATGAACAGCTTCCAATCCCCTTTGCAGCCATAAAAAGTAGAGCTACAAACTTCTCCACAGTGGAGAAGTTTGTAGCTGTAGATGTGAGGACCAGAAATGGAGAGAGATGGAATTCAAATAAGTCCAGTGATCAGAAACAGAAACACGGTGATTTCCAATACTGGAATGGGCAAATGTTTCCAAAACCACTTTATAAAGTGACAGTATGTCAGATTGTTCCCTTGCCCCAAAGGGCTTCAGTGAGATTGGTGTTTTAAAGTTCAGTTTTGACACAGCTGCCTTTCACCCCCTGGTATTTCACACACTCTGAGACTGACAGCCACGTTGACATTCCCTTTCCCCGGTCATTGTTGGTTTCTGCAATGCCAAACACTGACCCAAAGCTTTGATAAGGCTTTTAAAAACGTGTTTTGCTTCTATAATAAGCCCATTTAACTGAACTTAATAAAGTATAAAGCTGAACCAGTTGCAGAAAAGTGGATATCACCTCAGACTTGGTGTTTATTGTCAGTGTAATTGGCAGCGTGAGCGCACATTTCAGATTCCATGAAATCATTTGATTCAGTGTTAGTGTGAAAAATATTGCTTAATGGAGCTTTAATCGCACACTCCACCTTGGGATAAGCTGTGTGTGTGTGTGTGTGTGTGTGTGTGTGTGTGTGTGTGTGTGTGTGTGTGAGTGTGTGAGTGTGTGAGTGTGAGTGTGTGTGTGTGTGTGTGTGTGAGTGTGAGTGTGTGGCGCTGGAGTAGCTTGGCCATGTCACTAGCTGTATATCTCTCAGCAGGCAGTGGGAAATGAGGTCTAATCGGAGGGATATTAAAGTCACAATAGACTGCTCCTGCTATTAAGGCCTGTCAGCCCTGGCCTCCTCTCTCACCTTGATATCTCTCAGTCTCTGAATATTTATACGCCTACATCTCAGGCTACTTACACAGTGCCCTATGTGACTTTTTTATTATGTGTGCGTGCTGAAGCATCAAGAAATTTATCATCACCGCAGCCACCCAAGGTCTCTGAATTTGTTTGTATGCATTTGTATCCCTCCGTCCGTGCTCACGCAGTCCACCTCTGTGTCCTCTGATCCTCAGGTGCAGTGGGGGCCAGGCTGCTCTCAGGTCAGAGCAAACCCGTCACCATGGATGTGGATGAGGAGGAGAATATGAGTGAGTCGACTCTGATTTTCATCATTTTTCAGTCTGTCTGTCTCCCTGTCCAAGTAATAGCTGGTCTCTACTTTTAGATGTCTGCCTGAATTTTTGTCTGCTTTTATTTGTCTGCCTGCACGTTCCCCCCCTTGTATGTCCTCCTGTCCTTATCTAATGTGTAATCAGTGTGAACAATTCTGCTTGCAAACATAATTATTAGATTTATGCATAGCCTGCATTTTCTTAAATCCTGTACCATACGATCCAAAACAAATATTAGCATAACTCTTACCTGTGACCGCAATTTTTTTTGCACAAGTTGGAATCCTGGATAAATTGATATATGATGGAAACATATTCAGATGGGTTGCAAATCATTTAAACTCTGTTATTTTGCAAAAAGTATAAAGACGGCAAATCAGATGATACTGTTTTATACAAAAATATAATAATAATATTAATCATTATTATTATTATTAATAGTAGTAGTAGTAGAAGTAGTAGTAGTAGTAGTATGGTAATAATAACAATAATAATAATAATAATTATTATTATTATTATTATTAGTAGTAGTAGTATTGTTACCATAATACTACTACTACTACTAATACTATTTCTACGTCTACTAATTATTATTATTATTATTATTATTATTATATTTTGTATAAAACAATAACATCTGATTTGCTGTTTTTAAACTTTTTTCAAAATAACAGAATTTCGGACCCATCTGAATATGTTTAGATCATATGTGAACTTTTTCAGGATTTCAACTCGTGCAAAGAAATTGTGGTCACAAGTTAGAGTTAACAATAATAATAATAATGATTATCCAACATAAATTTAATACCTCAAAAAAAAGTTGGGGCAGTGACAAAAATACACTAAAAAAGTTTTGTAATTCTCAAAATAGTCATTAAGAATGAATATAATTTAATTTTATCCCTGAAGGGAAATTCAAATTCATTATCTTCTAACTTAAAGATGTTAATTTATAACAGGTTAGTAACAGAGGCTTAGTCACTCCGAAAAAAAGATTAGAAAAAGTTCACCACTCTGTGAGAGACAGTGTGAGCAAATAGTTCAACAGCGTGCAAAGACGAAACCATATTTCAGTGTTAATTAGACCGAATCAAACACAGCTTGCTATCAGATCACATGGCCCATTATGAAACAAAAACTATGATCCAGTCGTCCCTGATCTGGTAAAATCAAGCGAAGAAGGAGGAACAAACTGATCTGTTTTATTCCTTAACTTTTTACAGAGTTTTAAATGAGCAGGCAATGCAACACTTTCGTAAACATTTCCCTTTTCCTGACTTTTCGAAGCGTGTTGCTGGCATAAAATCTGGAAAAAATACGTATTCATCTTAGGAGAAATATTCAGTTTCAATTAAATAAAGGCTTTATATGATTTTCAATTCTGATTTGTCAGCATTTTTACTGTGTCCTAACTTCTTTGGAGTAAAAGCCGTAGGAAAATTATGGTCCACGTCTCTTTAGTTTGTATTCTCATTCAGTCAACCCTCTAAATCACAAAGGAGATAATCGTTTGTCCTAACCTGAACCACCTCAGTGAGCAGTGCACACACACACACACTCACACACACACATATGCACAGATACAAGCCGCTGATTTAACTGGGACTTTTCTGGGAAGAGCTAATCATTACATCTGAGAGGCTGCAGGTCATATTACAGATTCCCTTTACCTCCATTCCTCTCTCTGTAGAAAATCCTCTCTCCTCCGTCGCACTGAACTTTAATTAGACATTTGGGTTTGAACTTGATATCTAAAGCTCAGATGGCATGGAAAGACATGATTAAATGTGTTTCCCCTCATCCTAACAATTTCATACTTAGATTCACATAGAGCCGTCATCCACACACTCCCCTAACCTCTGATACAAATGAAAGTTCTTATTTCAGTGTCAAACTCTGTGTTTTTTGCACCGAGTCGAGGCATGTTGTTATGTCTTAAGTCAAATAGGCAGAGATGCAGAGTGGTAATGTTATTCCCGCTCTGAAGCCACTTTTCTTTCATTTCCTTTCCAGTCAGAAGATTCATTTGAAGATAAAACGCAGGCCTAGCTCACACATCTCTCTTTTAGAATACCGAGGGAACACCAGAGGAAAAAAACGCGAAAATCTTTTCCAACTTTTATGTGACAACCTTTGCAGTTCTTGAAATTCTTTAATCACATGAATCATCCCAAATGAATCCCCCCAACAAACACTTGAGATGAAGTTCTGATGAAAGACTTTTTTTTTTTGTCTGTGTTATTTGGTTCATGCAGCCCCCCCCCCACGGGGATTTAAAGCTCGGAAAGATTCAAGCATATGGGATCTTTTGTCTTTGCATAACTAATGGATGCTGATTACACACATTCTGGCATGAAATTGACCCTTACTGCATGTTTGTGCATGGTGTCATGGCTTTTGTCTTCTGGTGTTAGTCTCTGGGGTACTCTTGGATATCAATCATCTTGCAAAAAAGCTGTTTTTCTATGAAATGATAATAATCAGGTGGAAACGTGCTGAAGGATAAATGTCAGACTGGAGAAAGGGAGCCCCATTTTTTTCTGTGTGCCATGGTATTCACTGTATTTGACTGTGCCACATGCCAGAAATCTCAGAATATGATCACATCTTTATCAACTAAGCACAAATTTAGATTTTATTACAATTTTAGAAACTTTGTTGTCCTTTCAGCTGTTGATATTTGTACAGATTTATTATACTCTATTATATTCTGACTGTTTCTCCACATCCATAAATTTTGTGGTCCTATTACTGAGTCAACAGTAATACCCACGTCTCCTATAGCTGAAATGTAAGCCGTGTATCACTCTCCCTGACAGCCACAGTGCTTCAGTAATAGATATTATTGATCTCTCACACATGCAGGTCAAGTATATTCTGTTTACAAAGTCACATGTGACCCGAGTGGTTCATATCAAGGTAAATAAGGAAGTACAGGAATTATTGCTGCAAGGCTTCGGCTTGGTACGACTGGTGAACTTGCTTCACAGCAGCAAACAGTTAACTTGTTGTTTTATCAGCTACCGGCGAGTGCTTTTGCTTGCTTGAGCATGCAACAGGAGCTTCTTGTTGCATAAAAGAGGCTGATACTTGACAGGTGATTCAGCTGAATGCAGCTCCACTATTGAGCATGCCTGTCTAAATGCTGTTACCAGCTACGTAGTCACTGTGTTATTTTACTCCCGGGGTGCAAAGTGCTTGCATGAAGCTCCAGAGTTATGGATAATAACATGGTGCCCATCGGGTGTTTTCACTAAGTGCTGAGGAAGTTTAAATTTTGGCAAACTTTTTAGCAACTTGGTGGTTTCCTCTGGTGTCTGACTTTGTTAGGTTCATGTGTTCACCTTGCTTTGATTGCAGTTGTTGCCCAGTAAACCCAGGCTTGATAAAGCCTTAGCCAACTGACTGACACCTACAGCAGTGGAGGCCAACTCTTCCTGTCTTGTGTCACCTCAAAAGCACACAGTTTCTGAACATTGAGAAGAGCCATGAAATTCTGTCCAGACTCCAAGATCTTTATGTTACCACACAGTTATTAAGTGATCCTTGACCTCTCTGCAAAAAAATACCAATCACTTTCCACATTGTGTGAGTTCATGAGGTCTTGAGATCTGCTGTTTAGATCCACAGTGTGGCATCATAAAGTACCTTGTGTTGAAAACTCTCTCTGTAAGCCCTGCCTGATGCTTAAGTGAGTCTTTACCAAAGGCATTTACTCTGGCTTTGAGGAGTCTGGTCCTGGATTATCACATATTCTCTGGTAGTTACCCACTGTGATGGTGCATCCTGGTGTCTCTAGGACCTAACATGTCTTTGACGCAAATGAAATTCCTGCCTAATTGAGGGGCAAGTATATATTTGAGTGCAAGTCTGCTGTACACCATGTACACCAGTTCTCATGGGGCACCAGATGGAATCTGTAATGGGTTTCACAACAGCTTTGGAGATGGTTTGTGAGCCTTAGAGCTATGCAGTCAGTCAGTTAGCTAAATAGGTGCCAAATAGGTGCCTGATGCCATACCAGTACTGCTGCGGTTTTTGTAGTCTTCATCAGAGTGGAAAAATGTTCATAATGACATCTTTAATAATGACCAACAGTGTGTTTTACCAGAGCTTCTGAATCAATGGTGACATCTTTAATAACGACCCGGGCTCTTTCTTAGACCCTGTGTATTCCCCGGTCACATGTGGCTTTTGTGATATCAGAAACTCAACCTGTGTGTGTACAAGACTGATCAAATCTGACACCAACACACCAACGCTGGTGGTCAGTCAGACTTTACTTTATGGTCTTTTTCCTTGTAAACATCAAGAAAATTGTCAAAAATACTCTATACTTTATTTATTCATATATTTAATTGAGAATAAATATGCAAGTTATTTTGAAGGTGTTAGTTCACTGATATTGTGGCTCCCTTTTTTTCCTTATTTACAACCCTAATTCCAAAAAAGAGTTGGGATTCAGTGTAAAAATATTCAAAAATAACAGAATTTGGTTTTCAAATCATTTCACCAAACACTAAACTGGAAAAAAGTACAAAACCGACAAAAAATATCTGCTCATTTAAAATTTACTGGAGTGATTTGTAAAAGTTTGATATCATGATTGAGTAAAACAAAGATGGGAAAAAGTTTACCGCTCTGTGAAAGACTGTGTGAGCAATTTTAGAATAATGTGCCTAAAACAGAAAGACTTTGGAAGAATCTACAATCTCACCAATACTGACTGGCCTGCAACTTCAAGCCCTCTGAAGCCCACTGCGTTAAAAAAACATGACTCTGTAGTGGGAATCAACGCATGGGTCTGTTACAGCATCTTAGGTTAAAACTCAACCATGCAAAAAGAAAACCAGAAATTCTAGACGGTGAGTCCTCCAGTTTGAAGAGGAAAGGAGGAACCACCTGGCCTGTTATCAGCTCATTGTTCCAAACCAGTATCCATAATGGTGTGGGTAGCTTACACATCTTGAGAGGCTCCATTTACGCTGAACAATATACAAGATGTAGAGCAACATATGCTGCTATCTAGACAATGCCTTGCATATTTTAGCGAGACAATACCCGAGCACATTCTGCATGAATTACAACAGCACGGCTCTGTAGTGGAGGAGCGGTGATGAAAAACCGGCTCTTCCTAGAGTCCCAACTTGTCACCCAGTGGAAACATTTGGCGCGTCATGAAATGAAAAATACAACAAAGGAAACCCTGAACTGTTGAGAAGCTGAAATCCTTTATTAGCCAAGAATCGAGACGCATTTTACTCACAAACTTGAGAAATTAGTCAGCTCGGTTCCCAAATGTTCGAGTATTGATAAAAGAAGTGGGGATGCAACATAATGGAGCCCCCGTCCCACCATATTCAAAATGAGCCTTTATATTTCAAAAAAACAATTCAGAACCTGTTGAGATCGAGATCTCATTTACAAGAGTGATCTGGCCGAAGGGTCAGCAGCACACATCACAATAATAAATAATAATAAAGAATAATAAAGAAGAAGAAAATGACCTCCAGAGACATAATTAAAAACACAGGCACTGTTCCATGGTCTCCCAAAGTCTGTCATGTAAGATCGGTCGGTCTGGAGAGTATTCCGTGCAGAAGTGGCAGCAAAACTGAACGTTTTTTTGCCCAGTTCAGTTCTGATTCGCGGAACAATCAAACGGATAGTGTTGTTTGAGCGCAGGGAGTAGTGGCTTTCAGTTCTTTGAAGAAGATCACATAAATAAGAAGAGCTAAGCCATGAAGAACCTTATAAATTAGAGTCATCAGGTGAGTGTACCTGCGAATACTCAGAGAAGGCCAGTCAGACTTGGCGTAAGGGACTACAACCAGTGACAAACTTTTAACAATCGAAATGTTATCTTTAATCAAAAAAAGGGTTTAAATGATTTGAAAACGATCAAATTCTGTTTTATTATCATCCTCCACAGCGGCCTGACTTTGGGAAATTGGGGTTGTATTTGCAGAGATCCATTTATATGTTGAATACATGCACACACCAAAAAAAATTGCATGTTTTTGATGCACATTTTCTCTTCAATTGAATGATATGCAGTTTGTTTTGTTGGTCTTAGAAATATGTGTTTTTTTTCCTTGCCTTTAGATGTGTCAATTGTAGAATGCAGATGGTACCAGCATGTCAGTACAATTTGCAACCTGAAACACTGTTCTTTGACAAACTCCATGGGGGGGATCTCAGAGGCGCAGGGTCTTATGAATGGCACCTCATTAGAAACAGATTCTGAATTCATATTGCGCTCATTTTAAATGTGACAGCCATTCTCCTCCAAATCTTATGTGAAACGGGTAAACAACATTTTAACATCCCAGCGTGTCACCAGTCAAGTCTTTAGGATCCTGCAGTAGGTGGAGTCTTCTCCTTCTGCCTCTTTGATGTATTCTCCTCTTTGCCTGGTCCTCAGCTCCTCCCCCTGCACTTCTCCCTTGCACTCCCTCAACCCGACCTACAATCCCACTCATGCACACTGCGGCCTCTCTTTCTCCTGAGTACCGCAAGGAGTAACCTATCAAGCCTTTGCTGAAGGATGTTATAAATGAAAATTTTTGCCAATATTCCATCCACTTTGCTAACTGGATTCAGTGATATGTGTTCCCCAGGACGGTGTATTTCAAAGCCTGCAGTTACTAACTGAACACTTAAACTGTACCCAATTTCTCTGTAAGCACTTAAGCGATTAAAAATTGATAGAGTGGATGAGAAGCAACACTGTATGTGTGTGTCTTTGTTAACTTTTGAATTATGTGCTTGTATTTGTGTGCATTTATGTCATAGGCTCGTAACACTGTGCAACCTAAGAAGTGTAATAGTCTCTTACCACTTACCAAATAGCAAACTATCATAAGTTTCAGTACGATCATGAAGATAACTTAAGAAAATTCTCAATTGAATAAAATATATCTATAAAGTTAGCTCATGCATGTAATTAACCAAAGCATATATGTGTTTGTGTTCTCCTGTTTGTAGTGATATTGATAGACTGTAGGTTGCTACAGTCAATAAAACAAAAGGCAGCTTAACTTGCTCTTATAAAGGAACACAAATCATTGGTTCAGTTCCAAAGAGTGATAAAGGAATCTATAAATTTTGCATTTACAAGATCCTGCAACGAAGGCGTTGTAAGTTACTCTTTCTGGGCACCGCAGGTTCGAGCAGCACCGATGTTAAGGAAAACCGAAACCTGGACAACGTGTCCTGCAAAGACGGGGTGGGAGTGGCTGAGCAGCTCCCCAATGGCAGCGGCCTGGGCAGTCGAAAGAGGCCCCTGGAAGAAGGAAACAATGGACACACACACTCAAAGTTCCGGGCCAAGAAGCGCAAGAAAACGCCGGGGCCAGTCCTGCCTAAGAACGCTCTGATGCAGTTGAATGAGATCAAACCTGGTCTACAGTACAAACTGCTGTCTCAGACAGGACCAGTCCATGCGCCGGTGTTTGTCATGACTGTTGAGGTCAATGGACAGATGTTTGAGGGCATGGGCCCAACCAAGAAGAAAGCGAAACTGAATGCAGCTGAGAAAGCACTGCGTTCTTTTGTCCAGTTCCCCAATGCGTCTGAGGCACACCTGGCTATGGGTCGAACACTGACAGTGAACACAGACTTTACATCTGACCAGGCTGACTTTCCAGACATGCTCTTCAATGGCTTTGAGACCCCAGCTGCACCTGAAGAATCCTTCTATGTAGGCTCCAATGGTAGCAGCTCTTTAAACTCACTAGGGGAATACCCACTGCCCACACCACCTGGCAGTAACCTTGCCCAGGCCCCATTGCCCCCTCCATCAGCGTTCAGCTCGCCCTCCAGTGGCAAAAACCCAGTCATGATCCTCAATGAGCTCAGGCCAGGCCTCAAATATGACTTTGTCTCAGAGAGTGGGGAGAGTCACGCCAAGAATTTTGTGATGTCAGTAACAGTGGATGCACAGACGTTTGAAGGTTCAGGGCGCAACAAGAAGCTGGCTAAAGCCCGGGCAGCGCAGGCCGCCCTCTCAGCTCTCTTCAACATGCAGCTAGACCAGACGCCATCGCGACAACCCATACCGAGAGAGGGATTGCAGCTCCATCTACCGCAGGTAAGAGATCTCCTGTCTGCATAGATGTGATTTCTCTGTGTTAGGTTCATGTTTTTGCACGGGTTAAAGTTTGACTTGTCAGAAGTCTGTTTTCTGGTCCAAACTTTCCCACCTGTTCAACTTTCCCGTTAGGTTATCTCTCTAAACCCATCAGGTGTTCAGGGACCACAAGCAGCTTTTTGCTGTCAGTGCCACAGAAGAAGTCAGTGTAAGAGCCGTGCCGGTGTGTGAAGAGAGATAAAACAGTCATTGAAGCTAATCAGCAGCGCACACTGTCAACAGTCCACTCCCTTAAGCCTCCTTTTTTCTCCTTAACTCCCTCTTTCCACTTACTCACAACCGATTTCTTCGACAAGCACCCCGTTTTAACGATAGCGACCCCACTAATTACTCTATTCATTCTCTGTCGCTTGGTATTTAATTCCTGCTGCCTGTTTCCATCTGGCAAGGAGTTAATGGGGAAAAGTGGTTGGAGTCCACTGTTTCCAGGAAAACATCGAAACTTTTTTTTAAATAGTTTGAGTTATTTTATCCATTAAATCTCAGAAAACATCTTGAGAGATGTTGTGGGTAGAAAACATTATCTTGTTCACTTCCTGGATAGGGAATATTATTTTTGTGATTGGTACCTTCACTTGTAAAGCGCCCGTATAGATTAAAGGCCATTTCTGCACCATATGCGACCTTGAATCGCGAAAGTCAAATGATCTGGCTCCGAGCGGGTGACTCTGAAGTGGCAGGGAAGTAATATTGGACTAATCTCTTTAATTTGTGGTCATCCAGCCGTCTTCTCTCTCTTGGTTCTCGTCATTTTCCATCACATTAGCAATGGATAAAGAGCCAGCGAGAGGATGTGGCTGTCCAAGAACAAAAGGCGTGTGAAGTTCACTCGAGGCTCGAACGGAGGTTAGACGGGAATTTCGAACCTGGAGGAACGAAAATGAACACTTTGTTCGCATCTGTTGCTCGGCCTCGCGTCTTTGGTTTTTGTGCTTCGTGTGATTCACAGTCAGAAGGGAGATGATAAATTATAGCTGTCATGCCAAACTCAGACAGCGCTGCTTGAAAGACTGTTAGGTATCCCTCAGGGGGTCAACCCAGTTTCACTTGTTGCCGTTTCAACGCTCCCACTCTTGTTTTGGAGCTGAATGTGAACGCTGTGACAGGTACATGGTGCTCCAGGGGAGGATAACATCAGACGCGCTTTGTAAGCTGACACATCTGACACGAGCTCGTGTTTGTGTGGATGTGTTTTTCTTCCTGCTGTGTGTTTGCGTGCTGTATCTGTCTGTTTGTGTGTCTGTGTCTGCGTGTGTCTGTGTGTGTGTGTGTGTGTGATTCCAGGTTCTGGCTGATGCAGTCTCTCGTCTGGTGGTGGATAAGTTCAGTGAGCTGACAGACAACTTCACCTCCCCCCATGCACGTCGGAAAGTCCTAGCAGGGGTTGTCATGACAACAGGTAGATTTGGGGTGGAAACGGTGGTTACACTTACAAAATACAAGACTGGCAGACACCTTTCAAGATTTTCAGAGAGGAAGATAAGGTTCAAGGAAGATCCAGATTTAGGGTTCAGGGAGTTAATTGATAATAGAAATCACAGGTTAGTCAATTTTCTTCTTATTAGTATTTTTTTAGAATTACTAGATATGTTTCCAAGATAAAGACAAGATGGATTTTCATATTTACTGGTAGGAAGACCAAGAAGAAGAGAGTGTGTGCAAAAGAATTTCAGTCAATCAGTGAAACTTTATTTTTAAAGCACTTTTTATACATTAAATTCAGCACAAAACGCGGTCCATTCTTGCAGAATATTAACAAACAATGAAGTAAAATGAATAAAAATACAAAATACCAAACCCCACCCACCCTCCTGACCCCCATTCAAACTCTGGATCTAGGACTAAAACGATGAAACCATCATAAAACATAATAAAGGTGTTAAAGCGTTAAAAGTTAATGAAATAAAACTTGAAATCAAACAGTAAAAGAAAGTAAATTAAAAAAAGAGGTAATAAAACAGAAAATAGTTACTCTAGGACTAAAAAAGGGTAAAATCACATAATGCAGATTAAAAGATTAAAAACCAGACTAAAGGGTAGGTCTTGAGTTTGTATAAAAAGAAGTTTTTAATTGTAAAAACTCGACCAGTGGAGGATCACACTGTACGATCTTGAAAGCTGCTGTTGCTTCACCAATGAGAGGGGTGAGCAAGGGAGCATTCAAGTCCAGAATCTAACAGCTAGGTATCAATTATTATTCCAATTTCTACTTATTCTGCTTCTAAGGGATATTTTTGTTTAAAAGAAAGTATGTCAGATAAAATCTACAGTTTTTGCATCTTTAAAGTTTTCTATTTTCCGTAAAAAAAAAAAAAAAAATCAAAAGTTTTATATAAAATAAAACTAAGAAAAATAGTTTTTTTTCAGTGGATTATGAAATTAAAAATAGCTCTAGAAATTTTGACCAGAAACTTAGATTTAGATGTTTTTATGCAAGTATTACAGTAATAATAGACTCCGCTGTATCTGTCTATACATATTTTATCCAACTATTTATTTAATAACTGTACATATTCCTACTCTGTCTCCTAAATATCTTACTGTTTATATTCTTCAACACACCCACAGTTTAATAGCATTTTCTCTTTTTCACACCTGCACTATATGTACATACCTTGCACTTTACTACCTTGCACTTCTGGTTAGATGCTAAACTGCATTTCGTTGTTCCTGTACTTGTACTGCGTTCAATGACAAAAAAGTTGAATCTAATCTTGAATCTAATCTAATCTAATAGTTGAAACTTTAAACAGTCTTTAGTGCACTTTGTACCCTCAGTTTACACCTGCGCCTTATTTAGAGTCGTTGTTGTGCGGCTGTTTCCTGCAGTAACAGGAAAAACTTTTGCACAGGTTGTTAAACCCCGCTCTACGGGGTCATACCGGGACAACAGCGAGAAGAATTGGTCTTAAACGTTCGCTAATTATCACTCAAGCAGGTGTGAAGTATGCAATTTAAGAGTTCACATCCTTAGACTGATGTGTCTTTGTTCCCTTTACCCCCCCTGCAGGGACAGATGTAAAGGAGGCACAGGTCATTTGTGTCTCCACGGGAACTAAATGCATCAACGGTGAGTACATGAGCGACCGCGGCCTGGCACTCAATGACTGCCACGCTGAGATAATCGCCCGACGCTCACTCATCAGGTACCTCTACACTCAGCTGGAGTGCTTTCTCAGGTCAGTGGTGGTGGCGATGCGTTCTCTCTGAGCAATCTCAATATATGAATTATTACTATTCTGCTGCATGTAATTTTAAATCCAGCTGATCAAGTCTGAATAGAGAATAATGTACATAAATGTTTCCAGCTATTTTGAGGCCCTGACTTAAATTTACCTTTAATTTCACAGCAACAACAAGGAGGACCACCAGAAGTCGATATTTGTGCCGTGTGAAAAGGGAGGCTACAGGTTAAAAGACAACGTTCAGTTTCACCTCTACATCAGCACCTCACCCTGCGGAGACGCCCGGATCTTCTCCCCTCATGAGGCCGGAGTAGAAGGTACAGATTCGTCGCCTCGACTCCTCCGTCGACATGTTTTTAATGTGTTCTCATCTTTGCTCACAATTCAGTCTCAACAACAATGTGTTTGTTATCTAATGACATTGGTAGGTTTTCCCTCATCCTCATGCTTGGTTTCATTTAATTAGAAATTTTACTGCCACGTCCAAACACGCATTACAGACACATTTAAACACGGCTCGAGTAATTAGAGCTTTTTGTCATTCGCTGTCTGTCTCTATCAGTCCTCCCCACCGCCCAGCACACCCACACTGTCTGTCTGATTAACCTCCCTCTTACTCTTGTCAAAGTGTTTTCCGTCGCACATGGCAGACTGAATAGAAAACAGCCACATTCAATTAGTCACTGAATAGATGGCGCCTGCTGGTGGAGCGGCAGAAAACATTGATAACATTATCATAAATAACTGGACATGCTTTGTGGGAGACAGTTTTTGATTTTTTTTCTTTGTGTTTTCATGTCAAATTATAGATTTATGGGAATATTTGCATCATAATAGAAATTGCAAATAATTACCACAGGTGTCCTATATAGTTATTTATTTTGCATTCAAATTAATATAGAATAATTTCTTTCGATAAAGAGTTGATGTGTGATTTCTCCTGCCTCATGATTGTATCTTTTTTTAATTCCCCTCTTCACATCCAGACCAGGGAGACAGGCATCCCAACCGGAAAGCACGGGGCCAGTTAAGGACCAAAATTGAGTCAGGGGAGGGCACCATCCCAGTGAGGTCAAGCAACACCATCCAGACCTGGGACGGGGTTCTGCAGGGGGAGAGGTTACTCACCATGTCCTGCAGTGACAAGATTGCAAGGTAATTACAGCTCATTTAAAGTCATGAAGAAGAAATTAGGCAAAGCTAAAAAGATGTTTGGTGGCTAGTACTATGGCTGGGACCCTATATGTACTGTTGATGAAGTTAGGTGCTGTTCTGAACATTATTTGTGGCTATAGAGTGGCGTTTTGGTTGAGGTTTGTTTATGGCTCCTCAGACCGCTGTGTATTGCTATTGTGCGGTCGTGATCAAAGTTGGTATAACTAGAGAAGCAAGCTGTCGGCAACATTAATCTCTCGACGGGGTGTCTAACTCGGTGTTACGGTGTGTTTGACCCTAAATTAATTTTACGCCGGAATATCCCTAACACCCCAGTATGTAAGGTCTTCCCTGAAAAAGGCACTGTCAGGATGGCAGCATATGTTGCTTCAAAGCCTGTTTAGATTGTTAGACATTCATACAGACAGATCTATAAACAATCCGTTTACTCTTTATGGGGAACAGTTTTAACCTGCATTTGTGGACATAGTGACCAACCGTCTTCTAAGACTGTTTTGAAGCCTATGCGGTGATTCTCACTACAGAGTCATGTCATTTTTTAAAACACAGTATAACTGAACGGTATCTACTTGAAAACACCTAAACAACATGGGCTTTCTAACAATGACAAACTGTGTTCTCAGACTGTTTTTGGAGCCAATGCTGTGATTCTCACTACAGTCATGTCATTTTTTTCATGCTAAAGAAGTCTAAGATTACGGCCATCCAGTATCAGTTATCGGCCTTGTCCCTTTTGCACAAAATCATTCAATAATGTTAAGTACTATAGATGATGCAATCCCAAAACTTAATGCACTGTGGTGTTCAGAAACATCATTTTGAAATCCACACAGTCTCTCACTAACCTCGGACCTGTGGACTTTGTTAGAGCCGCTGGAGTATCGCCATGATCATGAGACAGAATAAAACTCAAAGAAACTTCTGTTTTGGCCTCACTTCACCATTCCTCTAAAGCAGTCTTTGAAGCTGCCTTGAAACTCCACGTAAACAAGTTTCACTCTTCTCTCCTACATATAATCTCACACTCCAGTCATAATTTGCTAAATAGTACACATATTTCATGTCTCATGATGCTCTTTCTTATTTGTTTTATTTACCCACGCAGCGGTGAATCTCTGTCATTTCCAGTCCATCATTTTCTTCAGGCGGTGTCAGGGGCAGCCGGATTGATGGATCCTCTTGTCCCTGCATCATTTTTCTGCAGGCAGATCATAGCGTCTTTAGTCTCTGTCCATGTTCAAGGCAACACTGTGCCTCCCTTTGTGATAAACGATGAAACTTCTCCATAACTCTTCTCAGAAGCAGCTCTTTTTTTTTCTCCCCTCCCCCGTCTCTTTCTCCTTCTCTGTGCTGGATCATAACACTCTGCCTGAATGAACTGAGTGATTGACTACCACGCGTGTGTGTGTGTGTGTGTGTGTGTGATGAGGATGACGGAGACTGTGTTGCATTCGCTGTTTGTTTTATGAAAAGTGTTATTGCCTTTTCAGCCAGTCAGGGCTGGTACCAGTGAGTCAGATTTTGTGTTGATGTCCAAAAGTGAAGCGATCCAAGTCAGTAGAGGGCAAAATAGGTTAGTCACAAGGTTTTTTTTTTTTTAAGGCAAAGTTTTTCAAGATAAAAAGAAAACGAGAAAAGCACTCGGGGAGCGCAGACCCCCACCAAGCAGCTCATGTCCCCCCTTATATTGTGATTCACACCAAAACTTTTACTGTTACGTGTCTTTTATTAACGTTTAAACTGGTATGTTCACTGTTCATAATGTTCCTAAAACAAGAAATACCCTGACTCGAACCCAGGACCTTCTTGTTGTGAGGCAACAGTGCTAACCACTACACCACTCTGCCGCCCATTGGTTATCTTTCAGCATTGAAAATTCCAACGACACCCTTATTTTTGTATGTTCTGGATCACAGTATCCAGATCACCAGGATCGGATGTCCGGATCACCACCAAAATGTAATGGGATCCTCTTGGGGCTGAGACGCACCTCTGGTGAAAATTTCAGGTCAATCCGTCTGTTACTTTCTCCGCTAACAGACAAACAAACAAACCAATGCTACTGAAAACATAACCTCCTTGGCGGAGGTAATAACATGAAATGTTGACAACATGAAAGTGGACAAAGTAGTGAGCATCAAAAACTTTAACTCTTTGTAGCTTATAGAGGATTTGCATTATCATTAGATCATCTTCAGGGTGAGGAGAACTTCAAGGTCTGCCTGATGCAGCTATTAGCCAGGTGAGAGATCTGCTGCCCACCTGCCCCCGTCCACATGTGAGTGATTGTTCGCCGCAGGGCTGCTATTTAATACAGCAACTGACTGGCACACTTTGACCGTACCGTAATGTTCCCCCCTGTACACATTGTTTTCTCTCCTCTCATTTTGCTTTGATTACATGCCCGGCCCCGCGGCCTTGGCGAGAACAGGCAGTTCCACACCGCAGTGTTTGTCGCTCTCTCTTATATTTGATTGAGCTCATTAGCAAACAGGCAAAGCACTGGCGGGTTATTGCTCTCTGTTTGTCCTGTTTCCTTCTGTCTTTATGTTTTTACAGCTGATTGCATGAGCCATTGGACATGTTCACTGGCTCTCATCGCTCACCGATATTGAATGAGATAACCACGGAGAAGGAAACACACAGAAATACAGCCGAGTTAGACGAGAATGAAATTGAATGCCTCTGAAAGCATAACTCAATATGTGGGTCCTTGCTTTTGTTTCTTATGATATACTTCAAGAGCGATCAGATGTGTTCGTAATCCTGGTGCTGTGTTGAAAAATGTTGCTGCTATACGTTGTGCACGGTACAGAATATTATGTAGCTGTATTGAGTGCTCGACTGCTCTCAGCTATGAAATCAGAGATTTCATTTCGTCCTCTCAGTTTCACGCCCACCATCACACACACTTTGTCTCTCTCTCTCTCTCACAAACACATGCAGAATATTGTATATGGAAACAATGGTCCCTCCGAGCAGCCTCAGGTCCTATACTTGCATATGCATCATTATTTCTGCCCCATGTTGGTAATTTCACACACTCTCAAGCAGTCTGCCGATAGTGAAAGAGGGAATGAGGAAATCTCAGTGTGTCGTTGTGAATCTTTAGGGGTCATTAAAGTAAAGTTATGTCGTTTATTACGACGACAAATCAAACAAAAGGAAAAATTCAGCGTCACAGAAATCCTTCTAGTATCAACAAAAGATAAAAACACTGTGCTGTTGTGCTTGTTTGATTTCTGTAGATATTTATTTTTAGACTACAGGGTTTATTTCTTTATAACTGGTTTCTATTGGGGGGGAGAAAAAATTCGGTATATTATATAAGTATAGCAATTTTTTGTTTTACAATTTTTAAATCCATTTTTTTGTTCAAAAATCTTTTTTTTTTACGGACGGTAAGAAAAAAGGTCCTTACACATCGGGAGACGTTTAGCAAACTGTTGAAGCACACAAACCATCGTCATATGAGAGATCCGACGCTATGACTCTCCACAGGTTGTCCTTCAGGTCGTTATCTTTGTAACGTTTGTGTCTTTTATTAAAAATCACTCTGTTCTCCGACACATAAACAATCAGCCGGTTGGCCATGTTGGATATACCGGTGAATCAGACGTCGCAAAAACTTTAGAAAAATCGACCGTGATCCGAAAAAATAAATGCCGCAATATCGCAGGACAGGAAAACGTCGCTGATCTAAACGCTTACGGGTTCGAAAAAAAATATTGACATCCGAAATAATCGCACGAAAAAAACGCTCCCGATGTGAAAGGACCTTGAATCTTAAAAAATGACTAACATGTGATGTTTATTTTTGGGTTCCTGGAATAGTCAGTAGACAATCATAATCGTTTAACTGTTTCACTGGTGTTGAAAAATGCAGACTAAAAGTCAAGGAAATCGACAATATTGTAGAATCACAATTTGAATCAAATCGGCATCCAAAATATCGTAGAAGAATCGAATGGGGAAAAAAGCATATCGTCCCAGCCCTAGTTTCTATTGAGTAAGGGCCTGTGTTCTCTAACAGCACCCACAACCTCAGTTTCAGGGCCCTTTACACCAGCACTCTCTGACACTGGGTCCCTTATTTGGGACCATTTAATCTGTTTTAAAAAGCTCCATATGCCTCCTATTTGTTTTAATTTAACGGAGTTTTACCATTGATAAACAAAGACTGCTTTGTCCACAGGGGGCGCCAAAGTTGACACAAACAAAGTTCCTCATTGGAGCTTTAAGTGAATTTGACTTAATACACAATTCTCCTTTTCAGAAATGAATCAAATCTTAAAGACTAACATTTGTAAACACTGACTGGGCTCAGAGCCAGCGCGATGCTAAGTGTGTAGAAAGGTATCGAAGGACTGGATTGATCGGGAGTCTTTGCTTGTTTTGGTCTTTGAATTTGTTTGCAAACAGAGAAGAAAAAACACGTCCTCACTCTTTAAGTCTTTCATCTGTGTCCAAGTTTTTCTCTCTTCTCATTTTTCTTCCAATAGTCATTCATCTTTCTCCTCTCCTCTGTTGTATCACTCCTCCTCTCCCTCTCTCTCCCTCTCTCTCTCTCTCCATTGGGCTCTCCTCTCTCTCTCTATCTACCTCTCTCTTTTGGGGGCAGGCTTCACAGAGCATGTCAATGAGAAAATGACTGGCAAGAGATGGTTAATGACACAACATAGAAATACACAGAAGTTTGTTGAAAATGAAATTGGATACCTCAGAGTGTGCAGCAGGATTGTGGGTGATTTTGTGCGTCGGGTTGCACTGACTTCCATCTTTCTTGTTAAAATCTCACTGAAATGCTCTTTTAATTGAAGAGTCTGTGTTTTCTATTTCTAGGTGGAATGTGGTGGGCATTCAGGGCTCACTGATGAGCTACTTCACAGAGCCGATCTACTTCTCCAGCATCATCCTCGGCAGCCTCTACCACGCCGACCACCTGTCCAGGGCCATGTACCAGCGCATCGCAGACATCGAGGACCTGCCTCAGCAGTTCACCCTCAACAGGCCTCTACTCAGCGGTAGGCAAATAAGACACTATATGATTTTTTTCGCTAAGAGCCTGGTTCTATTTTGAGGCGATCTCTGTGTTTATCTCCAGCTGTCTAAATATCAAGAGGAGGATGCTGATCCTGATCAGTAAATACGTTTATCCATCCTCGGTGGTCAGTCCACAGCAGGGAGACACTTTCCTCCTCCGTTCGATCAAAGCTGACATTTACCTACTTCTCATGGAATTTGAACAGCTCTATCATTTCTGTCATTTTTGAGCATTTGCTTGACCTTTTACAGAAAAACCATATTGACAGTTTTTTTTTCTATCCTTCTATTTTTAGATCTAACTTCCTGTTTTTAACCTTTTTTCATGCAATTACAGAGGAGATATTATGCATATTTTTCCAGACTCTGTGCTTCCTCTCTGATTTCTCTTTAACAGCTTTAATTTCTCACAGTGGTGGATTTAAACACCCTTATTTCAGCCTCTGTCTAAAACGCTTCGTCTCTGTTTCTTTAAGGTCATGTTCTGAGCAGTTTACATCTATTTTTCCAGGATTATTACAACATACTTTTACCCTCTGATTAGAAATTGTATGTAAATCTTGTAGTATAATGGTATTATCTTGTAGTTTAATGGACACTAAATGGTGTAACTTGGCATGTTTCATTATAAATGTGGAAAAGCATAATACCACTCTTTATAAAAATCACAGGATGCTTTAATAGAACAGGAAATGTCAGATTTTTTAAACTTTCTTTACATAACATTTGATTTTTTACTCTAAAATAGATTTCTTTTTCTTCCTCTCATTTCATCAGATTTAAAAATATTTATTTTTTTCTAATTTTCTTACAATCTCACTCTTTTCCCCTGACTAAAGACGACATTGACATCACTTTTAGCACTTTTTTTATCATTTATTTTACCTTGTAAAGGGTTTCGATTTTAGATATTAATGTTACTGTTCAATATAAATTAAAATGTTACTATAAAATATAAATATAAAGGTTACTTTAAAAAATAAATATGAAGGTAACTATTAGGTATAAATATAAATGTTTCTATAAAATATGAATGTAAATGTTACTATTTGTTACATTAGACTAGAGTTAGCTGAAGGCTAGTTTACTTTTTGCTACATTAAGCCCTATTTTTAATGTAAACATTATTGTTCATTGTATTGAGATTCTTTTATTTAAATATTTACTAAGTATCTCTTTTATATGTCTTACTATGATTATACGGCTGATACTGGGATCTCAGTACTACTTTCTTTCTTTTCTCTTGCAGACTAGAATGACAAATAAAACTCCTTTGAATCCTCTATGCACACGTTTCAGTGTTTTTAGCTGATTTTCTTGCCATTCAAATGAAAGTCAAACCTAGCCAAATATCTCTAAACAGCTACATATACAATATGTTAGCTGTCATGTTATATAACCTTCCTCCTGTGTAAGCTTTTACTATGCACCCACCATGTAAAGGGTCGGTTTTGACTACGAAGCGTAGAGGTTTCTAGGTTTGCTAAACTTTCACAACCAAGACTAACTGCTAATGTTAGCCTGACTTCTAACAGCATCCAGGGTCAAATTTATACAGCAGGGATAGTTTTATCACTTATGCAGGTAGTAGGATAACAAGAAGCCTTGGTGTTAGTTATAAGAGGTAAAAAGACACACCTACACACTCTGTAAATGCAGGAATATAAAGAGTTTGTAATGTTGGTTACTGTTGCTAAGCTTGGTATAGATCAGAAACAAATAAAGGTCAGTTCAGCAGCCAAAGTTAACCGGGTTACGTGATGCTGTGGTCAGTGTTATATGTCCTGTGGGATGACGAGCAGCTATATGCAGCTCCTCCTGCTCCTCCCCTCTGGTTGCTCCCTAAATGGCGGGTAAAGGAGATAATGGTAGGAGGTTATTAACCTTTTCCGCTTTAGAGAGTTTTTAGCGGTGAAGCACTGTGGCGTTAGAGCACTGAGGATTTCATCCCCTTTAAATCATCTGCTGCCACAAGTGCTGCCAAATGGAACCAAGGAGCTTAATACACACACCCACAGACACACACATTCTCACACACACATATATATACACAAAGTGCAAGACATTAGGATTTATGGCATCCATATATCTCCCAGTTATGCTTCGGATACAGAGGAGGCCGATGCCCTGTGGTTTGCTGGAAGAGAGCAGGATCTGACCTCGAATTCCCCCCTGGAGGGATGGTTTTGGTTTCCACTCCAGAGCTGTGGGAGCTGATGTGATTTCCAGTGTTTAGCACACCCGTGCCTTGGAGTAGAAGGTGTTGTGTTACTGCGAGAGGAAAAAAAATCATCCCTCACTTCGTATTATTTTTGATTCCAGGTATAAGTAACGCAGAGGCCAGGCAGCCGGGAAAGGCGCCCAACTTCAGCGTGAACTGGACGGTTGGCGACCAGGGTCTGGAGGTGATCAACGCGACCACGGGAAAGGACGACATGGGCCGCGCCTCACGCCTCTGCAAACACGCCCTCTACAGCCGCTGGGTGCGCCTACACTCAAAGGTAGATACGGACGGTCGCTTTTCCCGCAGGCTGTTCCCTGCTGAGTCATCACCCTTTAAAGTTTTGCTTAATTAATCAAGTTTGGATGTTTTAAGAATTTGCAAGAGCTGCGATATGATTGAGCTGCAAGATGTCAAAGCAGAGGTTCGTTTTCTGGCTGGTAGATTTGATTTATGTCACATTAAGCCGACTGAAGCAAACCTGAAGTTTCAAAAAGCGCTGCTGTTTGATGGTGCTGATACCTTTCTCTCTCTCTCTCTCTCTTTCTCTTCAAGTTGTCGTCTATCTTGTGGGTCAAGATGCTGAAGCCGAGCACCTACCATGAAGCCAAGCAGGCAGCCACAGAGTACCACTCTGCCAAACAGGCGCTCATTAAAGCCTTCCACAAGGCCGGTCTGGGGGCCTGGGTCAAAAAACCCATCGAGCAAGACCAGTTCACCCACAGCTCCTGAGAGAGTCCAGGGACCAAGGGAACCCCCAAACCCCCTTAACCCACTCCTTTTCTCCCTGACCCAGGCCTGAAAGCAAGATAAACCGTATTAACAACCAGCCCACAGAGACACTTACCTCCGTCCCGTGTGTCGGCACGCACGTGCACTTTGTACTTGTGGAAATGAACGTGCGTAGTTTCACAAACCATCCATAGCTCATCTTTGTCATTCCTCAGAGGACCTCGGCCTCACCTCGTCTTTTCTCATCATGTTGATTTTTGTCCTTTTCGTTGGAGTTTGACCAGTCAATGTTTTTTTTTTTTTTTCATCTGCTTGTTTTCTGTTTTAAAACTGGAATCATGGTTTTTACACGTCTGTCTGAGTTGTTTTCATGCCATAGATGTAAAAGTTGAACTGATACAGTTTTGTCTTATTTTTCTTGATCAATGAGTGTAGCCATTAAGGGTTTTAATGTAGCCTAGAAACACGGGATCTTTGACAACTAGAATTAATGTCTATGGACCTATGAAACGTATATATTTACTAGCTAAAATGGATTATGAGTTTTAATTTAAAGATGCGTAAATCTTCAGGATGTAAATCTAGTATGAAAAGAAAGAACAGAAAATAGTTATAGAAGAATTAATATGTGTTATTTGGTCCGTTCCCTAGATGAGACGACATGTCCTTAGCCCCTGTATTAAAGACAAAATGTTACAAAATATGGTGGTCCTGTGTGATTCACTGACTGGAAAGAGCAGTTTAGTCTTCCGTTTTTGCTGTCTTCTCTGTTTTCATCCATCCACGCTTTCGTTCTTTAAGTTATTTCACGTCACTCTCATTTCATACTTGAACCGTGGGGGAGGGGGGAACCGTGACTCCTTCCCCTCGCCTGGGTTTTCGGGACGAGCTTCGGGAGTGGCTGCACGTTGTATTTTTTCCTCGATCTAAGCCATGGCTTTGCATGGGAACTGAACTGGGAGGCCTACAGAGCAGAAAACACGTGGTGGAGAGCGTCCATCAGTGAATGATTTTTGAATGAATGCCAGCATCTTCCTCCACAGGCAGCTTTGAATCTTTGTCTCTATATTTTCTAGATTTCTCGTGATTGTTTCGGTTGTTTCGGGGGAAGGGAAAGGGACCGTCCTCTTTCTTTCTTTCTTTTTTTGTCGTTGTTGTTTTCTTTCCTATGTGTGGGCATTTTGAGGATGGGGGTCAAACTGCAGTCGATATAGTGACCACATAAACAGACCTCTCAGATCTTGTAACTATGTAACTTTGTGGCAGGGATTCATGGTAGCTGTCAGTCAAACTAATTAATAGAAAGCATGGTTTATGTGCTGTAGAGACACATACAGTATATGAAGAAACATTCACTAGATGCAACACAGTCTGTAGTGATAGCCTGGAATGCTAACATTTTGTAACCCCTCCATTTAGTTTAAAAAAAAAAGAAAAAATCATGAGGATCGATACAGTAAACATGCATTCCCTTTATGCAAATATCTGACAAACCAGTAGGTTAAAACCAAATGTATCACAGTGTGATGTCACTTCCTTTTTCTCCTTTCTGCAGAAACATGTTAGTTTATAAAGACCTTTGTGATCCAACCTGCCATCTTTACAACCTGAATGCATGAATGTCCGCCTGTTTCGAATCAGTGAAATCAGGACATCTGTCAAAGTAACTACAGTGGATCCGTACTCGGCTGTAGAAAGTGTGTGTGTGTGTAGGTTTGTGTGTGTGTGTGTGTTGAAGCATACTCTGTGGATTCTTCACCAAAGACGATGATGTCCATGTGTGTTTCTGTTTTATTTTATTTTTTAAGATCTCACCAAAATCAACCCTTTACTGTTCGTTTTTTTGTATATCCTCTCTATGATGTATTTTGATTTGTACAGAAACTGTATATTCCACTCAGTATGGCGGGGCAAATGAACTGTCAGGCTTCTTTAGTGCATCTGTAGCCATCGGTGGCCACGTGTATATTGTGACCTGCAATCATTACCGCTGCCGTATCGTATACCTGTGTATATAAGGAACAACAGAAATGACAGAACCTGTTCCCGGTACAATCACGTCATCTTCTCCTGAAACTGTTTCTCTCTCTCTCTCTCTGTTTTTCTCTCTCTCTCTCTTTCTCCTGTCGCTGGGATTGTGAAGATGTTAATACCAAGTGGTTCTCGATAACACACTGGGCACCACAAAGCATGGCACAAACACTGCCGGAGTTAACAGGCTTCATTCCCATTGTAGCCACCATTGTTAAAAACAAACAAACAAAAAAAATATGCACTGTATGGTGTCTCAGCTAAAAGTGGCATCCACCAGCTGGCACGTGTGATGTCATAAATGTACCTTTTTGTACGTGTACTCGGTTCTTTTATTAGTCGGATTAGAAAAGCAGGAAATTGGATCTAGCTGAGTCAGAGGTGTACTTTGGACTCGAAGTTCTGGGGGTTCACAAAAACGGAGGAAGTGTGATGCAATTAGAGCCACAGGGGTGCAATTTTGAGAGGAAAAACGCCTACTACAGCGACCAAACTTCTACTCATAAAATCAGAAAATACAGTTCGAAGGCATACAATTCATGTTAAAAGCGACTCAAGCACAGGTAAGTGTAGGGCGCACACAAACACGGATCACAGTATGAGTTAGGTTGATTCATGGATTGTTTTATTCGCTGAAACAGTGAGGGATTTTTATTTTTTCACATTTAAAGAGAGAACATGTACATTTATACATATGGTTCATTAATCATTAAAATCTCAGGACACGCCAACAGGACAGGATCATGTGTAAACAATCATCCTGCGTTGAACATCAGAGGATAGCAGGCTGTAAACATGTCTTTATCTTTTTAGGATTAGAGTGCGCATCAGAGTGAGTGCACATGATGGAGAGCTTGTTGTCAGTCTCAGGACTGTAAATTACTGAAGTTTTGGTGAAGCAAATGTGTGAGGAAACGGAGGTTAGGGTGTCCTCGTCTTTTGGTATCCCTAGATTGGCATGATACGATGCTAGGAGGCAACAAATGCATCTCGAGAAAGAAAGTAGGAACAGCAAACACACTGGCGGAGAAAGCTTCCAGATCTAGAGCTTCTACTGTTGCCGTGACAATTTGTTTTGAGAGTTTTAAGCTTGTCTTAGCATGAACGCAAATACAAAACATACAGAGCATTGCAAAAGAGACTCATTGGTCTTAGTGGACACGGCCTCTAAGATAGCAAAGCATCTCCTCCACACCTTACTCCAACATGCTGGTGGGCCACCACCTGGTTCAGTGAACTCCCCTGAGTTCCCCAAACTACATCTTTGACTTGGATCAGCTCAAAGGAAGAGGTCTTTAAATTTTAGCTCCAAACACAATGACAGAAAACGTAGAGATTGAGACCCCCCTTGACAAATAGACCCAGACCAAAGTCACAAGCAATACTCCTGCTGTCTCCTTTAATGTCAGCTCATTTCAAACAGGAGTCTGAATGAAGGATCCCTCCCCCCTCTGCTCCTCTACTCTCTGTTCTTCTGTCTCTACAAAGCTGTCTGAGCTTTTATTTTTTGTATATTCCCCCTCTTGAGACTGCTCGCTTGTGTGTGTTTTTGTTTTCTTTTGACTGCACTAAAGATGTCAACTGATGATGTCATGATAAAAAACCGTCCCCGTCTCTGGATTGGATGGCAACTATCACAGCAAGAACTGAAACTGCTTCTGCTTAACCCCTTTGTGAATCCTCCATGATGGTCGGTATCCTCTCCTGCAGCTGCGTCTGTAGTGGATTTTTATTTTTCGTTCATTTTTTCGGTGACTCCAGAGCGGCCGCTGTTAAGTCCGCTCGGAGGGTTCAGATGCCCGTTTTTTGCCCTCTCTTCAGCTGTCTGATGTGTGAAAAAAAAAACTCCACTGACAAAAATCCACAACCTTGCATGTACTACCAACACTGAAGCTGCACCTCGCATGATGACAAACTTTTAAAGGACTCAAGTAGATCAAAAAAGAAGAAAAGAAACATCTAAAGATAGATATATAAATGAAGAAAAAAGAATAAAAGAGTTCTTAGTTTACTTTTGACATGGTTTGGAGTCTTTGTGTGGATGTATGTGTGAACTATGAGTTTGGTCACTACACTTTATCTCCATATTTTAAGTCATTTTACGTAGAGAAACACCAGTTAACTCATGACGGGGATTTTACAGCACGCCACTAGGAAGGTGTGTCAGAGATAAGTAAAGAGTTTTTAGCTGTAAATCATGTAAAGTTACTACAAAGCTGTCAGAAGAACAATATAAATCCTGAAAGTGAGAATAACACCCCCTCTTTAAGTGTTCATATGAGACTCTCTCAATCAAAGTGCTGATAAGGCAGCTGTTCTCCTACATTAACCATGCTGCTGTGAGCTGAATGAGAAACATGAAACTAACAGCATCATCCTCTTCCTACTGTCAGGCTGTGTACTTTTTGAGTCGCTGAGGCTTTTATTACTTATTATGAGTGATCTTAGCAGCACCAGATATCCAGATTGAAGGTAAAGTATGTAGTTAATCATTTTGGAGGACTTGGTTACATGTAGAAGCCGTGGATTATTATGGATCCTAGCTGAGGGTGCAGAGGCAGGAGGTAACAAGTACTTTCTACGGTGGCCTGGAAGTGCAAAACACAACCACAAAAGAGGAAACACGACAGCAAATCACATATGCAAACACAAAAAAGAAAACACGACAGCAAATCACATATGCAAACACAAAAAAGAAAACACGACAGCAAATCACATATGCAAACACAAAAAAGAGAAAACACGACAACAAATCACATATGCAAACACAAAAAAGAAAACACAACAGCAAATCACATATGCAAACACAAAAAAGAGAAAACACGACAGCAAAATCCCAAAACGCGACAGCATCGTCTGTCTTCTTCTTCTTCTTCGTTGTAGTTTAATGGCAGTTTTCTCCGCTGGGGGTGGAGTACTACTGCCACCTGCTGGAGTTCGGAACGGGAAAGTAAACATGAACATGGACG